TAACTCAGTATTACACTGAAATAGCCGAAAGAGAGTCGGGGATTTCCAGTTGCATATTTTTAGAAAACCCAGTGGAGTTATCTGACTTGCTAAGTGGCGCTGGATCGCGAACGGAAGTAGATTTAGGATGACAGAAAGCGCTTTACGCTGCGCTTAGCGCTTAAAAATGAGGTCATCTCTTTTATCATAAAGTTTTGTTGTTAGGTTACCATTAACGCATTTTTCTAATAAAATATCCAAATATGAAACAGATGTGTCAGACTCTGTGCTGTCTTTTATTTCAAGTTCACTGGGATATATCGAATCGACATATGAATGGAAGTGCAGTGTGATTATTTGATATAACGTCGTCGATATATCTAAATGTCGATTTGAAGGCCACAGCAAGCGTTTTCTTCTCATGTAGAAGTTTCTGAATAAATTCTGCTTCATGTATTATATGTGGAGATAAGGAACAGTATTCAAGCTCAAAAGTCCATTAAACAATACAAAATAGGAGCAGAGCAAACACGGACCTCCAAACATCAGGGGTAGGATCAGGTGCCCTGGAGGAGTGAGCATCCCCTGCCAACCGGTCACACCCACCGTGTGCTCTTTGTCATGATCGGAAAATAACGGAAAAATCCGTCGACAATTCAGTGTGTAAATAATGGCCTAACAATTAGTATGAAAAACGTCAGTCAGCATTTGATTCAATGACGATTAACGTCTTTTTCAAGTAAAATATCCAAATATGAAACAGATGTGTCAGACTCTGTAGTATCCTTTATCTCAAGCTCACCAGGATATATCGTATCGACGTAAGAATGGAAATAGCCATTGTTAATTGACAATACGTCGTCGATATATCTAAATGTCGAGTTGAAGGCCACAGCAAGTGTTTTCTTCTTTTCACGTACAAGATTTTGGACAGAGTCTGCTTCATATGAATACAAAAAAGGTCTGCTAATAACGGGGCGCAATTGATACCCATGGGAATTCCAATAGATTGTTGGAAGACCTGGTCTCCAAAAACCACATAGATATTGTCAATCAGAAACTCAAGCATCTTTTTAATGTCAACTTCAGAGTACTTGTGTGTACAATCAGAATGTTTTTTTTAACAAAATAATTTTGCAAATGACCAATGACAAGGTAAGTAAATTTACGAGTTCCATTTTTATCGAAAAAGCAGCTGTCAATGATATCAAAAAGCCTTGAATTTAATTTATCATGAGGGATGGTTGTATAAAGAGTTGAAAAGTCGTATGCTTTGATGTTATTGATTTTGGTAAAATTTTGTGATTTCAATTTTTGAAAGGTTCCTTGGAGTTATTTGGTATCCACATCTGATTTACACCACTTCTGGAATATACTGTTGTACAGTACTCTTGAAATTTCTCCTTCACTGCCGTAAATATTTTAGTGAGGAGAAAAGAAAGAGGCTTGATTAGTACATTTACTGCTAAATGCTATGTATCTTTGTTTGGAATCTAGCATATAAGTATGGTAATTCAAATTAGAACTCTTCAGTAAGCAGTGTTTAGAGTTTTCTTAAGTAATGATACACGCTGATGCGTTCCTGGCAGAAAAAAATGTTTTCTATAATGTGGATTGATAGTAAATGTTTAAAGTGAAGCCACTATTTATATATTCTACAAAGCTTTTTGGCAGTTTTTTAACACCAAGTATGTATGTTATATGATAATAATTTTTCCTTACAAGATACTTAACAGAAATCCAACCTTGACTAAAATAATGACGACGGTACTATTCAGGGGGCATAACAATATTAGGTATGGGTTTTTTTCTTTTTGCTTAGATGTATAAATTGGGTAGATGTATTGTGCTGTCATAACAGGATAATATACAAATATAGCCCTTTTATGAGGTCGATCCATAGATATATCGACTTCACAGAAAAGCATATCGACTGAGCACGAATTGTAATGCGATTAAATAAATGTTAGTATTGTCCTTGTTTTCTTTCAGACGAATCATTAAATGCATTCTTATATAAAATTGAAAATATTAGAATATCTTGTCAATAACAATCAGTCAAAACATCCTTCTCACGTTTATTGATTTCTCAAAAACAGCACACAGAAATCATTTCTTTTGTAAAAATAATTTATTATAGATGACATTTATTCAGTCTTCATAACAAATGTGAATATAAAATCAAAAATAGTTATTCGAAAGACGAACATATCATATTGCTATTAGTAATTAATACTTTTCGAGAAAATTTGACAAAACTCAGTTATAACACTTTTTTTCAAAAATCAGGGAGCATAAGATTTTTTTTGACATGAATAGCATGGGCGCAATATTGTACCAATGGCTTTATTTGTATTCTTATATATTCTGAAGATAATCAGGGTTCTGGAGGTAATGTAACAAAAAAGGAAAATCCATTCTAAATTCAGCTTAATTAGCAAAATACTTCTAAAGAAACATTGCCAAAAAGGGTAGATTTCAAATAGTTTTTTTTTTTCATGCCAGCTCATCTCCTTTTTCTTTCTATAGAAATTAAGGAATCTTTTTTATTTTTTGTTTGTTTGTTTGTTTTTTTAAGCATGATGCGTTTCCAGTAAAAGTAAATACATATACAAGGTAATGCCAGTGTTATAAAAAAAAAAAAACATAAGACAAGAAACAATTCTTTACCTACATGCACTCAATGCTATTATTTGCATCTTAAAAGTCATGTTCAAAGGAAATTTACGTATCAGTCAATTTTACCGATATTTTTTGTTAATGAAAATTAGATACATACATTTTCTTTTAGATTTTTTTTTTATAAATGGTGTAAGAAAATAAAATTTGAGAGGAACTTTAAGTCTTGTAAAGTATTTGTAACAAAGCATTACAATTTGACAACTTAACAATGTACATGCATGGTTAAATGATCAGTTGCATGCTTTGAATGCTACGCCCAGTGCTTTGTGTTTGTGTGACTTCAACACACTTAGCAACGAGAAATATAAGTATTTTGTCATTTCCGTAACGAGTTATATAACAATACTGCCAATTCACACCCTTAAATTGTGGATTTTTATGTAATTCGGGAAAACATGTCTTAAACGTGCACACAATATATATAGGAAATATTTCAAGATGCACAAAAGTTTGAAGGTTAAAAATATATACATCAAATGAAAGATTATAGAATAAACTAAAGAAATCTGATATGGACGATGTTTACTTCTAATATTGTAAGGAAATCTCAGTTGATTACAAATAGGATATTCATGCACAATAGAACTGAATGCTTTAACCAGAGACATTTTTTTTCTCTGCTTCGACTTCTTCCTTCCTGAATCCACTATTTTGTCCACATTACACAAAGGGTTCTTATTAATTACATGAATAATCTATATAACCAAGCGAAAAAATGACCAATTTAAGTTTTTCGAAAATTCTAAGCACTATAGAAATCTAATACTTTAGAAAATGTTTCCATATCTTATCAACAGAATTCCTGAATAAAAATATGCTAAATTGTTGTTATTAGCTCAATTCACTGACACTACACATGTGTCTGACGGAAATAATTAAATCTGAAAAGTATGTAAGACAAGTCTTCCTCTAAAAAAATGATGTTAATGAACTTTTTCAGAGGAACACCACTATTTCTATGTATTATTAAGAGCATAGAGGAAGCTTAAATCCTAGTATTCAATTCATGCAAACAAGTTCCTTCTTAGCATCAGGAGAGAGTTTTGCTAATTTCATACTGTAATTTTTTTTTAAGGATTTCGATTAAAAAATCTAAGTGGCCCCCTCCCTTTTCTTTGAAATGGAACATTGGAATCAATAACATTATTTTGAAGAGCATTTTGATTATTTGCACTGCTAAGTCTTAAATCTGGTATTCTACTCCTGGGGTTTGGATAACTCTGCTGCATATTGGAGGAGGGAGGAGGCTGGGCGCTTAGAATATCCCTAAGACTCTGCAGAATCGCATTTCTATTGGGGTCACTGTTTATTCTGCTAAATTGGCGTGGGGTAAGAGGGAGCACTTTGGCCTGTCTGTCTTTATAGTTAACTACTACATTTGACAACATCGGCTGATGGAGAGTGACCGCTGTGTGTCGCCTGCTCTTAAAGGGCTCTGACACAGGTTTCTGGTCATAAATGTTGTTATTGGACTCTAGTAAACCTTGAACACCAGGTAGTATCTGAGTCAGGACAGACAACGGAATCTGGTCCAAAATTGATGACGAAATAACACGTGACTGAATATTTGGTAATTTCGCAATCTTTTCTCTTGTTGGCAGCAATATTGTCCGTGTGACATTTTTGTCTTTAGAATTAATATCTTGTGGTTGTTTCTTAATATCTGGTTTTCGTATCACCATTGGCTCTGGTGTCGTGGTGGTTGTCTTAATGATTTTGCTCATTTCTTTAGAAATCTTATTCTTGTTTCTCTTCTTTTGGGGCTTTTTCTTTCTGGGACGTCTGTTCCTCTTTGTTTGACCAGTGAAGTTGTCTTCATTTATAACCTGTGGGGATTGCGCTTGGCGATCTCTAAGTTTGTCCAAGAAGTCACCAGGTAGAAAATCAAGATCAAGGGCGCTGATTACTACAATTAATTGATATATATTGCTCCGTGACATGGAATAGAAGGTCATGCATGGTGCACACTACAGGGAAAAGAGGAAGGACACTAGCAACTAAAATTAACCAATCAATATTGCTTCTGGCTTCTACAATCAACCAATCAATATTGCTTTTGGTCACTACAACCAACCAATCAATATTGCTTTTGGTTACTACAACCAACCAATCAATATTGTTTTTGGTTACTACAACTAACCGACAAATATTGCTTCTGGTTGCTAAAATCAATCAATCAATTTTGTTTAATGGCGACAATATCAGGAATGTAGGATGAGCTACAGGGAAATGATATTCATTTACAAAATATATCATTCATCTCCCATCTCATGATCACTGTGCATCAAGAAGTAGCACGCATGCCTGCGCGGGAAAGTAGGACAATATCAACTACTTACTTCCTTACAAATACATTCTTTATTTCAAGAAAAATTCAAAGCGTACAATAACAAATACAAGAAAGCTTTATTTTTTTTCCCAGCGAAATAGTATTCTTTTTTCAATTTTGAGCGTTAAATTATCAAAATAAAAATAGCAGTCACTTTTATTTCTAAAGATGCCACAACGTGATATTACTGCAAAATATCAAGTCAATGCGCACACCAATACATTATGTTTATAACACAGTTAAGGAAGAACAACATGCAGGATTTTGGCACCTCAGAGAGACTTTGTCACATACATTGGTATATTGCATGTTATCTAAAATAAACAGATATATACACTAAAGACACCATTGGGAGTTCGAAAGACTATGTTGTTGAGTAGGAGAAAGTTTGTTAACGTCACAAGGAAGGTTACTTGGTTGGGAAGGTTCCTCTAATTAGGAGTCGCTCTAGTGGGTGAAGACCTTTAACCAAAATAAACAAGTTAAAATAATACACTAAGGTACATCGACCTTTTGTTCAATCATACCGGTATAAAATTTTACTTTAACGAAAAATTTTTTTCAAAAGAAATCTAATTTATCAGTGATTTGCACACAATTTCAAACCTTACAGAGCAAACGTTGATAGAATTAAAATCATTTATTCAACTGAGAGTTATTTCTCTTATCAGAGGGTCATTGAACCTTAAATGAAAATTGATTCATAGGATAAATTCTACCCAGATGCAACTGTTAAAAATATATTGAAATATAGTCTTCCTACCTAAAGATATGAAGAAATTATATCAAATTTTAAAAAAGTACCATTTATGAAACAATTTTAAAAAAATTCTTGAAAAAATGTATCAAATATTGTAATTTTTACCTTCAGACGCAAAAGTATCGAAAGGAGAAACAGGGGCCGTCATTAGGTGAAGAGGTTGAGGTATTCGCCGCATTTCACAAATTGATGTGACGTCACGTCCTCGTGTTTTAAAAACAGGATCACATGAGTCGCACGAGCGCCTATGGGAAAGACAACAAATGTGAGTTAAATATTCTACAATGTATAAATTATTTAATTGATTACATTTGCACATATACTAGCATACTGTTGACATCTGCAAAGAACAAGAAGATACCTTGCTTCTTTTCTCTGTGTTGAGCTTAATTTAGCCACCATAGCATTATTAAAAAGATTGCTTGGATAATTATAGGATCTCCCATGGTTTGTGGTTGGATATGACTATTTATCCAACTCGTTGTGTGTTTTTATTCCCAAACCAACAACGAACTGGATAAAAAATCATATCTTACTATAAACAATACGAAATTCTTTTTATCACACGTTTTACACATAGCTATTTCATAATTTACACTGTTTTATATATGTTAATCCACAATATATGACTTGATCAATTTCATGCAAAAACCATCGTGACGTCACAAAATGGATATGTTAACGATATCCTATGATCTATATCCACTGTATAACGGAGTAAACGTGTGATAAATAAGCATAAAAAACATCATAGCAAACATTTGGCATTGGGATAAAGTTTTCAAATAATTTTTTTTCACTTTAATTAAAGATAAGATAATCAAAATACATGTTATATATTTCAATGTGTTCATACGCTTTATTTAATATAAGGAATACTTTTACATAAGCATTTTTATAGTGCCACTTACTCGCATTGGATACCAGCAATATTGGAACAGTCCCACACTGCACACGGATCTGGGTTACACTGGGCCTGGACTTTACCACTGGGACACAGAACGGCTGGGGCTAGAGGGATATATACTTAATCATGTCCTTGTCTTGTAAGTATTTATATTTAAATCAATTATATCCTGTATATAAACAATTTTATATAATAAACACCTTCTTACCCAAATGGCATTTTTATGGGTTTTCACATATTTATTAGATCGATTATGAATATGTCATTCTGAACACATTAGTTGGTTTTATTCTTTTATAAAATTATACAAATGACAATATAAAAATATAAAATTTCCATTTATCATAAATATAATCCAAACATGATTTTATTTAAACTTTTTAATAATACTGCAAAATCACTTATTTTTGTGGCGTCATATTTTTGTGGTTTCTAGTAAAATTATTGTTTCACAGGATATTGCTTTCATCGTTTGTAGACAAATATGATGCCGTATCCTGTAATTCTAAACATTTTGTGGACATGAATTCATGGGTTTCCCCATTCCACAAAAACCACCTCACGAAAAAGAGTGATTTCACAGTAAAAGAAAATTTGAAGAAGAAGAAAAGAAAACATGTACAAAGAAAACTAAAGGAATACAGTCGAAACTAGTTATATCGAACTCAACGGGAACAAGATTAACATCGAGATATCTGATGAATCGAAATAACTTGGGTAAAAACAGCTAAGCTTTTGATGTTCGAGATAACGAATTTCAACTGTACATAACAAATAACTAAAACTACGTACGTAAAATAAGGGACAAAGTCTACTTTATTAGTCATCTCTACTTTTACAACACTGCATCTAAGACAACAGAACTAGCAAGTTATTCTAAGTGAGGGATTACAGTTATTAATATATATCATATATTAATGATGGATCACAGCCATTAATGTACTGTGTGTAAAGTTACAAACCATAATTATTACTGCAAACATTGATTAATGGCAGAATTCATATGTCATTAAAATATATAACTTAGAGACATACACCAAGATAATGTCACATATGTATTATTACATTACCACAACTATGTGGCGAATATACAATTCTGGAATATTTAGAGGCAAAATGAAAATTAAAAGAAAATTCTATAACCTATCTATAGGAAACAACGCGCTTAATATATTTTTGATAAAAACAATCAAACATAAGACTTTGTCATTATATAACATTTATTTTATCTAAAATGATAACATTATCAGAGAACTTCGTTGAATTCTGAAAGTATCACTAAATTATAAGGACACAAGAACACAATTATACCACTGCTGAGTGAAATGTACAAAGTGTCCAAACTGGAAACGCATTGCAAACAAACTTTCTCTGACAACGAATCAGTCAAACCTTATTGTGAAATAAACAGTAACAGACATGCAGTATGAAGAAGTAATCATTTGAGAAATGGTGTACTAAAAACACTCGAAGCAGAGAGAGAGAGAGAGATTTTTTAATTGACTACATTGTATTAGTTATTAATAAAATACTTGATAAAAAGCACAGAGGAAAATACCTTTCTATTTTTTTTTATTTCATTAAAAAAAAAAAAGACCCAACAATCTATTTTTTTTTATAGGAACCTGACATTACCTAATTTAAGGTATTACAAAATATAACAGTTCGCACCTTTTTAGCTAAAAATTAAAACAGGTAAAAATAACGGACAGTGGTCGATCTCATTAATGTTAAGAAACAATACGATTCTATAACTAGAAATTAAAACATGGACCCCTGAAAACTCCAGAGGTGGAATCATGCAGACACCTAGGAGTAAGCATCCGGATCGATCCCCTGTCTACCAGCAGACGGAGTAATGTGTTGTCGAAGTAAGGCATAACAATTTGTTTAAAACGTGTCAACCATGCAATTTGTAAACAAAGTCATAAAGTGATTACAGAAGTTTGAAATGCTGACGTAAAACGAGATTGTTGAACTTCCTGTAACATCAGCTTATTTCTATGTAGCCTGCCTCGGTTTGAAAAGATTGGTCGTTCTGAGAAAATGCTATTGCTCATCAAATAAGCTAGGAGACAAAACATCATCTGCAGGTGACATAGGAATATTACTACATAAATAAGGAAAGTCGACGATGTAAATCTGAAGTCATCTATTTGGCATACTGTTAATTTGTAAGCTGACATAATCTCTATAGTCACTAAAACGTCCAAATATATGAGACAAATGTGGTATACTCTGTGGTGTCTTTCATTTCAAGTTCATTGGGATACTAGTATATTGAGTCGACATATGAATGAAAGTAGCTTATCTAAACGTCGAGTTGAAGGCCACAACAAGCGTTTTCCTCTCCTTATTTTTGTACTGACTTCTACTCTATCAAGGAGTTAAAAGTGTTTTAAAACTAGTCACAGTTAGAGAACTACAATGCAAAAAAGAAATGATGCAAAAACAATGATTAAAATGATGGCACATCAACGTTATTGGAATAGTAAATTAATATTGGATTTCCAAGGGAACTTCTAATGGTAAGGGTGTTTATTTCCTTCAAGGGAACCACTAATAATAGGGATTTTATGAGGCATATTGATAAAAATATACTCTACTCTAACCTTCCGTTGCACTGAGGAATTGTGAAAAGGCATCAGTGGTGGAAAAAGGAGGAATTGTAGAAAAACCTAATGGTGAAAATAGAGTGTGCTGTATAAAGTGGAAATAAAAGTGTGCTGTATAAAGTGGAAATAAAGTGTGCTATTTCGTCTAGTTGTTCATGAAGGGGGGGGGGGGGGGAGAGAATGAGATGGCAAGATTGTGGTATAATTGTGAAGCAAATTGAAATCTCTCATTTCAAATTCAAAAGCAGTCTTGGTGAATAAATATTTTGTAAATTATGAGGATAATGGAGCATATATTCATACTCTGTCAAAGCAATGTGAAAAAAACCTTATCATGAATTGTAAGTGCAATGATTTTTTTTTACTGATGTAATCATGATATACCTCCGAAAAATGTGTCCTTCTCAGTAGGAATAACACTCCCTGCTGAAACATTGAGATGTAATATAAAATTGAACACTATAAATTTAAGCAAAACAAAGCATAACTGAAGCACAATTAACAAGTACATGTTAAAAAATTAGTAATTAACAAAGCAACATGTAAAAGCACATAAGTTCATTTCAAGCTTCATTGCATTATATGTTGAAGCATACGCTGTTATAAACATGTAAACGTCTGTCATATATAGTACATTGTCATAGCAATGCTTACCACTGCCTCGTTTTAAAATTGAAAGAAGCTGATTGGCGGTATCTGCAAGCGTTTCCGCTAATTTGATTGCTTCTGCGTTGTTAATGATCGGTTGAGTACTTTGATTCGCTACACTGTTAGTTATTCCTCTGTTTTGTGTGGCTGTAAAAATATAATTTTAAATCTGTTAAGCCTTCTATAGAAAAACTGAATTCTTGCATGGATGTCTGTGTTCATTTTGTATTGCACCCGTGTGACGGATCGACATGAAGTATGGATGTAAGCCAACAATACAAGGGATCTTTTTAATGAAAAACATCTATGAAATTTACATTGTGTTACGCTGTTATTTCAAATCACTACATGTATATACATCTCAAAAACAATCTTGAACCTCACAGGCATTCTTGAACAAATGCACCTCACATTTTCATTTTAAGGGAACTCGTAATTATACATTTAATAAAGTTTTTGATCCTTTTTCTCGAGTTCTTACATTTTGTCCATGTTTTACAGATAAAGTTGAAATACTTCATAAAGTGTATACCTTTTTCTTGTTGGGTTTCAAATTGAAGGCAAATTTATATAATGTCATGAATATTTTGCTTCTTGATGGCATGGGTGCTTTATATATATATATATATATGATCTTCAAATATAACCTCCTAAAACACTATCAATAAAGTATTGCTCGAAAAATACACCAGAAGTACTGAGTAATCAAGACTAAGAATATATACCGATCTATTTCGGGAAAAACAAGAAGATGCTGCCAGAATACAGGATGAAAAAAGGTTAGACTTAATCTATCTCTGATTTGAACTTTTATTCAGTAAATGAGATTTAAATTTGATTCAGTAAAAAATGTTCTACTTTTTTCCGAAAGTTACTTTTTAAGTTTATTTTGAATTAATAAGAAGAGTCTGAAATTATTCCCGCCAGAAGTTGTCATTGCATTGATAAATGCAAAAAGAAAATGGACCGATATTTGGAACTAATGGTTGAGATTCACAAAACGGTGTTGAAAGAAGAAAACAACACGGAAACAGTTTCGTATGAACTTTCACAGCATGCCAAGATGAATAGATCTGCAATTTTACAGCTTTTTACAATAAAAATGAAAACTTTAGTCTTCATTATTCCCTTATAAGTGTAAAAATGTGAGGTTAATTTGTTTAAAAAAGTTATGTGAGGTTAATGAGTTTTTTTTCTGAGATGTGTACAAATTGTAGTTCACGGAATAGGAATCAGTTCGATTCAGGAGAATAATTTTCAGGTAACAATATGTACAGTACATAATCAATACCATTGATTATCTATATATTCTTAAATGTGCATTTATATCATTTGATAGTTTGTATTTCAACATCAAAAGTTAATTCCTGTAGAAAAAAGAATGGCACTAAGTAATCCATAACAGGAGATAGATACCATTTTTTTTTTTGACACAAGTAAAAAAGCATTTCTAGGCATGCTTTTTGTACAGTGCATATAATTTGACAGTGATTTAAACACGGTTTCGTATTTTCTGACATTTATAGTGTAAGATATTTGAAGATAATTAAATAATAATTAACTCATCAAACTGTTGTCAATTACAATGAGAGTTGGAGAGTGTCATGAGGTGCATTCTTTGAAGTGGAAAGGAAAAGGATATAATCTAAATTTGTCTTTAACAAAAATTCAGGTTGTCTAATATTTTTTCTATTAATATTACTCTTTGTGCGTTTGTTTTACTTGCCAACCAATATTTTAAGTTTCCTTGAAGAAAAAGAAAGAAGTATTGAATCTCCATCAATTTTCAGAAAATAACTTTATACATTTTTCGGTATAACACAATGCAGCGTGACATAAGATACCACTGTGTTGAATACAAATAAGTTTTGATATGATAATATGTTGAAACAAATCAGAAATATTGTAACAGTTATATCTTGACTTTCATTGAATCACTAATGAGATTTATTAACCTCAGTCCTGACATAAAAATTTAGAAAAAGAACTTGAACACTCAAAGAGAGTTTAAACATTTTAAAACTCTTAATAACAATTAAATGACGACTGGATAATTTAAAAAGTATGCTGCAAAATATTTCATCAAAAGAAAATATATTGACCCACTTGTATATACAGATGCATTCTGTACAGAATTTATCTGTGTAAAGTGATCAAATTTGGACGAATATTGCGATCTATCATAATATGTCACTTTTCCATGCTTTAGTTGTAAAAAAAAACATTTGTTTTGATATTGAATTTTTTTGATGGAGAGATAGTTATGTCAAAATTGTGCGTACTACGAATTAGCTTTATTTATTACGGTATAAATTTACAGATATAGGGAATTCATTTATTAAGCTAAAATTGAAGATTCTATTTTATTATGTTAAGATTGCAGTAATCAGTAATGCTTTGTCCAAGTAAAAAAAAATCAAAGTGGAATGGGGTCGGATGCTCAAGTTCTAATTAATATTGAAAACATAAAATTGATCAGTTTAATTATTATTGTACAGTATAACTGGACTACTAGCCACGCACCTTCTAATGCATAGTTTTGTGATAGAAACTTTAATATTGAAACAAATGTGCGCTTTAATAAGGGCTTCACATTGTTATACAAGTAGTTTATACTTACAATTCCCTTGTCCTTCTACCATAAGAACTGAAAATACAACGAAAAACAACATTGATATAAAAAGTAACATAACTATATAGATTAGTTTTAACATTCTAACAACTAATCACAAGTTTAAAAATGTTCTTTGATTAAAAGATTGAAAGAGGGAATGGTTTGTGAATTTATCAAAACGTTTACACATAAAATTGATTTGTAATAATGATTCCATTGATCATTTTGGAACAAGCTGTGGGCATCTGTAATGTTTTGAACGTGCATTGTATATTTATCGAAAAAGCAATCTTCTCTTGTGTGTATTTTTATGTAACGGGTTAAAATTGCTATCATGAAGCAATAACAACGTTAAAAAAATATCTGTTTTCTTAAGCGGTTTAAAAAATCTAACAATTAAGTTGTGTTTTGACACATCCCATATGAACATATGGAGGTGTTCAAGATCTTTATTTTTTGGCCTCATACGGCACATCAGATTACATATAGTAATACTAAACATATATACAATATTATAAAATATAACAATATGAGAGTGAGCATAATCAATAAATAGCAAGTAAACTATGTAGGACGTGTTGTTTAACAGGCAACTGTAATTATCTCTGACATTTTCATAGATTTTACAATGAAATAAGAGATGAAAAACATTTCTTTATTTCATTGTAAAATCCTTGAAAATTTCAGAGAAACTTTTTTTCATAATGTTAATTTAAATAGAAATGTAGATCCAGTTGAAAAATTAAACACTTTAATGAAAACTCATCAAAGACAAACTGCCAAATTTTTAAATTTATGCTTTTCAATAAGACAAAAATATTTATACCAATCAAATAAATGTCATGTGCGCTATCTTTATTGAAAATGGAAATATTGTACATATATTAAAGTGACATATAGGTCCAATGGGCCGGGTGTAATGTATATATTTTTATATTGTATCTATTTGTTGTTTGAAAACCCATACACATGTCACTATAATAAAATATTTACTTATTTACTTACTTATAAAACACATAAAAATTACAAATGTTTCATTCTTCTACTGGAAGTTTGTTACATACATACATACATACATACATACATATATATATATATATATATATATATATATATATATATATATATATATATATATATATATATATATATATATATATATATATATATATATATATATATATATATATATATATATATATATATGTATGTATGTATGTATGTATGTATGTATGTATATGTGTTTGTATACATGTCACTACGCGTAAAAATCATTGTTTTTGCATGACTATAAGACTGACTTTTGCTTTCTGTTACTTTTAGTATTTCAATGCATTAGGCAATGTTTAACAGGAAGAATAATAAAAATGTTATTGGAATCCCCTATCGATGGATACTTTTTTAGAGATGATAATTACCAAAAAAATCTGCCCTATTTTTAATGTTAATGCATCAAAGTGACAACTGGAAACAGAGGTATCAAATGAAGACATAACAATTGGCCCAATGAAAGTGACAAGTACAAAAATGCAGAGAATATTTCCCCTCACGTCAGATATGTAGAAATTGTTTTTAAGTCTCTAGACAGACATCTTTGACATGCAATTACAATGTCATTATGGAAAATTCATTGAAGAGGTATTTCCTTATAAAACTCTTGTTCTTTTCTCAGTGACATATGCAGATCAATAAAATGACATGTATTCAGTCAAAATATATAAGTTGTGATTGACTCACGTATTCAGTCAAATATAAGCAGTGCATTTATATTTATATAATATCTTTAACATTTGGCTTTTATCGTCTAGAAATTTATAGTTATTTGAAAAAAAAGGCCCGCGTGGCGAAGTGGTTAGAGCGTTTACTCCAGAGTCGCGGTGTAAGGAGTTGATCTTTACGTTGCGGGTTTGAATCCACTTGGCAATGTGCAGACAGGTCCTTCGGATGAGACTTTATAAACCGAGGTCGCTGAAGGTGCTAGAACGAAAAAGATCCCTTACTGCTCAATGGCCATAAGTGCCAAGTATAGGTCTAAATTCGCAGCCCTCCACCGCCAAGTGGTGGAGTCTCGATAAAGATGAAAAATTCTCGAAGAGACGTTTAACAAAGAAAAACAAAAATATCAAATAATAGTTGGTAAGTAATTTTTTTTATCGTATAATATACTATAAACATGTAACCTATGGGTTTTTTTTTTTTTAGTTTTAATCGGTCTTTTTATGCTTTTGTTTGTAGATTTTGTAAAGTGTTTTAGTAATTTTACAAAATCGGTTAGACATTTATCTATAAAATACAATATTCAATAGAAATTTTCATTTTGTAATACTATTGCACATCACTTCATCGTGACGACATTCAGTGTTCCTTCTTTTACCTTAATCATGCCCGTCAAACAAATTACCAAGAACAGAGCAATCATTACTCTGGAAATAAGTAAAAGTTCAGAAGAGCACAAGCAGGTTAAACACAACGAAATAAATCTCGTATATTAATATATGACAGAATGAAGTAAAAAAAGTCATTGCTAGAATAACAATTAGGCTGAAGGTAAAGGAAATATACTTGCAATATTAAGTTGATGTGACATTCAGAAAATATGCAGTGCGTTTCTGGGACCTTCAAGTATTTAACGCCTACTTTTTTTCATGCTCTGATGCAGTTGATTTCCAGTGCCTAGACTACCACACTGAAATTAGTTGGAAGTACCTACTTCTTTTTATTCAAATATTTTAACCTGGAAGTTTATCTCGATTCATATTTTTCCTTGACCCACTCAACTACTTTTTATCAAATATTGGTATATGTACTTTCTAAATTTGATAATTTATATTAAAATTGTAAATGAACAAAATAAATGCCCTAATATTATATCGCCTTTATTAAGGTTTAGGGTCATGTTAAGTCATTTTGTCATATTATATATATTATATCGCCTTTATTAAGGTTTATGGTCATGTTAAGTCATTTTGTCATATTATATATATTATATCGCCTTTATTAAGGTTTAGGGTCATGTTAAGTCATTTTGTCATATTATATATATTATATCGCCTTTATTAAGGTTTATGGTCATGTTAAGTCATTTTATCATGATATATATATTATATCGCCTTTATTAAGGTTTAGGGTCATGTTAAGTCATTTTGTCATATTATATATATTATATCGCCTTTATTAAGGTTTATGGTCATGTTAAGTCATTTTATCATATTATATATATTATATCGCCTTTATTAAGGTTCATGGTCATGTTAAGTCATTTTATCATATTATATATATTATATCGCCTTTATTAAGGTTCATGGTCATGTTAAGTCATTTTATCGTATTTTATGCACGAACAACAGAATCTCCTCGATCATGGAAATTTCATATTAATTTAAATTTTTATTTCATTCTTAGTTTACTTAAACAAAACATCAACATATCAACATATAAAGCTATTCGAATTTTTATCTTTAAATTTCTCAGCCTTCTACAGTTTTCTTTACAGTCACCGTGAATCATACGGTGTCAATTGATTCTTGTATTTATAACATTGTACATATAGTTTTGATATAGGGGCAACATTCGCCTTAATTTGGACAGAATTTGCTTGATGACATCATAATACGATCATTAAATATCGTATTTTTTATCATTGACGTTTTTCAATGAATGTCAACGTCGCATTAATAGCAGTTTTATGATAATCATTAATATAATCTCTTAATCCAAAGGGGATTACCACGCTCTGTGATAGTTTCCTCGTGTAATAATAATACAAGTGTGCATTGTACACATTCGATTTTTTTTCGGTTCGTGCCCACGTAGAAGAATCTGCGGTTCGATGTAAACAGTGTTTCTGATTAATTAACTAACTGTCAAATGGCGTCATATTTCATAAAATAGGCGCTTAAATCAGATATAAATGTTAGCAAATTTGATACTTTTTTTAAAGGAAAGATTCCCAATAGAAGATTATATAATTATTTTTATATATATGTAGATTTTAAAAGGATTTTTTTTTTTACAAATATTTCTTTTATTGTTTTTGTTTAATTGTTGTACAAAAAATCCATGGAGATTGTATTATACATGTACATTTGAGAACTTGTATCCAATCCTTTTGTATGTATTATACAACAAAATATGTTCAAATCAAAATACATGTACATGCATTTTATTGATTTACTGTGAGTATTAAAATTAATCTTTGCTTTCCCATTTCTCTTTTATATTTAATGCTTCTGATTTCATAAACACAGATTAAATACTATAGATCTCATCCAATACCTATTCATTCTCTTTATGCAATAGAAAATGTTGAAACCAGTCCTACTTTCATAAAACACAGGTCAAATACTAGAAATATGCATACTTCTCATTCAATACCTATTTGCAATAGAAAATGTTGAAACCATTATTTGTGATTAGCGCTTCCGTGTACTTTGTTTTAATTCCCTTATTGTAAAACCCTCTCGCCCTCTGACTTCTGTTTCCGTATTCGAAGCACATTATCTATTTCCGAGGGGCCTTTGCTTTATTCAGTAATAAAGTTAAACTTCTGTCTTGTAATTAGCATGTTAAAGTCCCTAACTTTTGACATGGGGGAATTAAAATGAAGTACGATTCAACATGGCAAAAACGGAAGAAATGAAGGAGAAAATAATAATAGGCTGTGAAATTTAAAGTACTTCCTTGTACTAAATATGATTTTGTTAACTATATTTGGAGAAAGACCGATCCTATACATGAATGTAGTTAAGAAAAAAATTGGGTATCTGCCGTATTTCCTCAAGAAAAATATTCAGAGACAATGGAGTATTTGTGATCAGAAAAAGCTGTTGTTTAAAATACAAATATTTACAAATGTTTAAAAATGCAAATATTGCATTAAATAAAATTCATCTTGAACTGAAATATATTACATTTTTCATTATAAATTATAATTGTAAAAATACTTAAATCTATTAAAATTTTGTTATTCATTGTAGATTTTCATTTATAAGGCAAGATGACTCTGTCTAAAACTGCCTTGGGATTAGAATTCTTCCATGCGCAGTATTAAGAGCTTCTTTAAGATTAAATAAATCTGTTCAGACCTTCCTTAAGAGGAAAAAGAACTAGCTTCCTTCTATGGACAGACTGTGCAAAGCTTCTTTAAGAGGAAATAGAACTATATATCCTTCCTATAGACTGAGTGTTCGGGGCTTCTTTAAGAGGAAAAAGATCTAGCTTCCTACCTAAAAACTGATTGTTCGGGGCTTCTTTAAGAGGAAAAAGAACTAGCTTCCTTCCTATGGACAGACTGTGCTAAGCTTCTTTAAGAGGAAATAGAACTATAGCTTACTTCCTATAGACTGAGTGTTCGGGGCTTCTTTAAGAGGAAAAAGAACTAGCTTCCTACCTAAAACTGATTGTTCGGGGCTTCTTTAAGAGGAAATAGAACTATAGCTTACTTCCTATAGACTGAGTATTCGGGGCTTCTTTAAGAGGAAAAAGAACTAGCTCTCTGCCTAAAAACTGACTGTTCAGAGCCTCCTTAAGAGGAAATAGAACTAGCTTTCTGTCTAAAAACTGACTGTTCAAGGATTCTTTAAGAGGAAAAAGAACTAGATTTCTGCCTAAAAACTGACTGTTCAGAGCTTCCTTAAGAGGAAATAGAACTAGCTTCCTTCCTCTAGACAGGCCACGGGTTGACCGTGTCTGTTTCCACTGTTATCTTCCCCTCGTAACTGTCCACATGTCATTATGGCGCAATCATTCTGATATGATTAAGCTATTCGGTGTCCTCACCACAATACTATAACCTTTTATTTGTGATACTTAGGTCTTAACCAAATATCATCTTTGTGGTTTACCAGATAGCTTATAAGTCTTCATTGTACTCATTATAACAATACTGTATACAGTATTACATGTGTGTTCTAAAAATAAGTAACAGTAACTACAGACGTGCAGAAACAAAATCCCTTGTTAAAATGAATTGTTGTTTGAAATGTCTAGTTATTTCGAACCTGAATACCAGTACATGCAATTAAACATCATCTTTACTATTCAATAAAAAAAAAATGAAATTTGCAGATTAAAAAATTCATCGTTCTTATTCAATAAAGAAAAAAATTAAGTTCCCTTCATCACCTTTAACTCTCTTTCATAACAATAAAGTAATGAAGCTATTTAACAAATTAAGACTACATTCATAATGATGTTTAAAGGGTGCTTTTATATCCCCTACAGGTGTCAACTAGATAAATAGATAAAACAAACCACGAATCTGTGAAAAGTTCAGAATAACAGATCAAAGAAATAAAACTTATCAGACAATAATTAATGATTTGTCAATTTTCTTCGTGAGTGGATATGATTACGTAGATAGGACAGCCACTCTTAATTTAACCATATGCACCGCGCACCTGCTAATGCTCATAAATTATCATAGCTTAATTATCTAATCATAATTAAAGCTACTAATAAATGATTCTGAATCGGTCAATTTTCTAAGGACAAGGTCAAGTATTTTTCTGTTTTGTTGATATCATATATCTAGGTGTGTCAGACTATTTTTATGAAGCTCATAATCACTGGTTATTACAGGGAAATACATAAAGTAATATGCATAATTTCTCTACGTTATTTTGGAACATTATTACCTATCTGCCATGTCAAATAGTTTTAATGAATTTTTTATGACATAGAATTTCTCAAAACTTATTTATGGTACTACACAGATACATTGTCAATTACACTACACATCACTGAATCTCTTCTTGTTATACGTTTAAGGTGAAAAAAGAATTTTTTTCATCTTGTTTTTTCCTTGTTTTCTAGATTTAGAAGTGTCGTCCTTTTTATATTTCTAAGCTAAAGAGATTCTAATGGGAGAGCACGCTGCATGATCATCTTTGTATGGTTTTTAAAGAATGCGTGACAACGTACTTCTTGCAGTGTTGAAATACACATGTTACTTAATGTCATTTAAAAAGTATTTCAAGAAAATAATTAAGGCGTTTTCCATCATTATTCTTAATGACATCTCTCATATCTGTATGGTAACCAGTCTTATAAGATTCTATTTATTTTGATGACAATGACAAAATTTGTTGTATTCTGCAACATTCAAATATTGAGACTTCATTTAAGTTTATCTGAGCTTTTTGGAAAATTGTTCATTTTTACTTTTATCAAACTTGGGAAAGGGTGTATGTAGAACAAATGATATAAACATCAAACTACATGGAGAGAGAGAGAGAGAGAGAGAGAGAGAGAGAGAGAGACGGTACTCCTAATGTCACCTATAATTATTAATTAATCAGAAGTAGGGAGACAAGTCAAAGAATTAAAATACAAAATTAATAAGAAATACCAATAAAGAAAATTCCTGTTTTAAATAGGTTTATCAAAAATATCTTACCTACAGCGGCCGATATTACCAATATTAACAACATTTTTCTGTCTGTTAATTCGTTACACCGATGCTTCTTTATTGCCACACACAATATATATATAGGTCTTCTCACCTGCCAAAAACCACGTGATGCATACAGGTATGATAATTTATTAATACAAACATACATAAAATATTTTTTGTAAACAAGGACATTTCTCCAATATTTTCCATTTTTATTCTTCAGAAAATGGACAATATATTCATGCATGTTTCTTCTCATTAATTAATATTATCATTAATATACAAACACAGCATGGAACAACCAAATTACATAAAATTGCGTATAAATAATTGAGACGTAAGAAAAATTTTAGTTGTTATCATGTAAAAGCGCTTTAAACCCTTCCTCATCCCTCAAGAAGGATTCTGAGCTCTGCAAAAGGAATAACTTTAACTACTAGACATAAACCTATATTTTTAGAACTTTATTTTAATCTCTTACTGGATTTATAACTATAATGCTATGAACTAAAAAGCTTAACCAAATACATCTCCTTTGATATCATTTATTGTTGTTTTATTCTGTCCATTGTTGAAGTTTTTATTCAGTGTGACTTCTGTTACCATATACTTGCTTTCCGAATTTTTAATCGTCTTCCGAGTTTGATTTACTTCGAAATATAAGTGATGTTTATTAATAATGTTAGGTTTTTTTTCATTTATTTTGATACTCAATATATTTATTGACAAGGAAAGTATATATGGGAAGTAGATCCATTTTGAGATTCAAACTACATAATTATGTATTAGAATTCCAATAAGATACTGAGAAACCATATTTAACAAGAAATTAATTTACGTGAAAATTTAGCGATAATTGATATTTTCTTATTGTTTTTTTTAATTGGTACATGCGCAGATCTAGAGGGGGGTGGGGTGGGGGTCCGGACCCCCCTGGAATTTGCAGAGGTATTAAAAGTATGTACTGAAGCAAATAAAAAATGACTTTAGACCCCCTAGAAAGCATGGGCATCACCATCACGACATAAGTGATTTTCAGGTTTGGGAAATGGAATTTAGTTTTTTTTTTTTTTTTGGTTTTGTTTTGTTTGTTTTTTGTTTTGTTTGTTTGTTTGTTTGTTTTTGATTTTCAAGGAATTTTTGGATTTTTGGGTTGGAAATTTTTTTGACTGGGTGGACCCCCCCCCCCCGTAAAAAAAATCCTGGATCTGCACCTGTTATATACTAATTGACAATCATGGAATTGCCGAGTTTATCATTTATTTTGGCATTAAACGACTTTTACAAAAGTTCGCCGGCCAGTTGTTGAGATTCTTAACCTTATAAAGGTCCAGAAACTTGCAGTCGGTTCTTTTATATTGCAGAATTAATAAAATGCTAATTCCCATCGCAATTAAATAATAATAATCACGCAATCAAGTAAGTTCATTGGCTTTCAATAGAAATACGCTGAGCAATGCCTTGAAAAGGAGTACGCTTCTACTATATGAAAAGAAGTCTCTTGCTGTGGCCTTCAATTCAACATTTAGATAGATCGACGACGTTTCATCAATTAACAAAATTCATTTTCATTCCTACGTTGATTCGACATATCCATTTGAACTCGAAATAAAAGATAACCCAGAGTCTGACACTTCTGTTCCATATTTGGATATTTTACTAGAAAAAGGCGTCAATGGTAACTTAATAACAAAACTTTGATCATTTTTTCTATCGTCAAATTCCCTTTTTTATGTAGCAATATACCACTGTCACCTGCGTAGGGACTGCTTATGTCTCCAAGTTGATTCAATGCACAAGAGCATGCTCTACGTACGAACAATTTCTAAACGAGGCAAGATATTGCAAAATAAGTTGATGATACAAGAATATCAACAGTCTCGTTTAAATTCAACATTTCGCAAATTCTATGGTCGATACAATAACTTTGTCAACAAATACAATCTATCATCAAGTCGAATGTTGTCTTAAGTTTTTTTTTAATACAAATTGTAAGGCTATTATTCTCACACTGAATTGTCTACGGATTTTTCCGTTTGTCCGATCATGACAAGGAGCACACGTCGAGTGTGACCAGTCGACAGGTTATGCCTCCTCCTCCATGACACCTGACCCCACCTCTGATGTTTTTAGAGGTCCGTGTTTTTTCTCTACTCCATATTTGGACTTTTGAGCTTGATTACTGTTCGTTATCTTCACATTTCATCTAATAGTCAGCTATGTATGAATTCAATGTGGTCAAGTTTTTTCTCTCCAAATTTGTTATCTTTTATTTTTTCAATTTGTTCCACAATTTATTCCTAAAGAGGATTATATCATGTACACAGGTACAGCTGTAAGACTTGACCATTTCACGGCATTACTCTGTATATGACTATTGATAGACAATGGATTTACTAGCATTTTACTACGATGAAAATTATCATTTTATTAATATTGCGTTATTTGGTAACCAATAACAAAAATTTGAACCTTTCCAAGGTTATTGCACACGAAACTAAACAAACTGTCCGCTATTTACAGGTGTGAATTGGTAGTAAAATTTGGATAAATATCCTTTTATGAAAAAAATAATTTTCGACACGATGTTTCATGTTTATCAATTGACATAAAGCAATCTTAGTCTGCGAACTATTGATACTTACGTGAATTTAAAGTGACGAGGCAAATTTATTGTTAATTAAGTTCACGACAAACAAGAATTATATGATTATTATATTGTATTAGAACGCTGTAAATTATTCTCCTTATTGAAGTGATTTACAATTTTCCAACGATAGTTTTTATTCTGAAACTACAATTTTGTGCTTTACCTTTTCACAAGCATGCCCAAAAGAACTAGGAAGGAAAAAAGTTTCAAATAATCAGAATTCTCGATTCAGTCTGTTTTTTTTTTTTAATCTATTGTGGTAATGGTTTGGCTACCGCAGTCACAGTTAATTTCCATTAAAGGCATCGAATAAAATAACTATGTACGCACATATGACGTAAAGAACTCTATTGTGCTTTGTTCCATATAGACAACATATCCTGGAAACTTTTTTCTATTGTGTACTCTTTTAATTCGCTTTTTTAATATCTAGATCATCTATGTCAATTCGTAGATTACACACACATTTCTGCAAATAAAATATCGATAATCTTACTGACTCTACACACAAGTACTCTGAAGTTGATATTAAAAGGATGTTGGAGTTCCTCATTGAAAACATTTATGTAGTTTTCGGAGACCTAGTCTTCAACAAACTGTTTGGATCCGATGGGCACTAATTGTGCTATTTTATTAGCCGGCCTGCTTTTATATTCCGATGAAGCAGAATTTATGCAAAAACTTCAACTTGAGAAAAAGAAAACACTTGACGTGGCCTTCAACATTTATATATCGACAACCTTTTATCAATTATCAATAGTTATTTCCCATTCGATCATATGTCAACTCGATTTATCCCAGTGAACTAGAAATAAAAGACACCACAAAGTCTGCCACATCTGTTTCATATTTGGATGTTTTAGTGATTATAGACGACAAAGACCAACTAAGAATTAAATTGTATGACCAACGAGATAACTTTAGCTTTTCCATCGTCAACTTCCCTTATTCATGTAGTGATATTCCGCTATCACCTGCATCTGGTGTTTATGTCTCCAACTTATTCCGTACTCAAGAGCATGCTCTGCGAACGATCAGTTTTTAAGCCGAGACAGTCTACTCACACAAAAGTTGATGCTATAGGGATTTCAAGGACCTCGTTTAAAGTCAGCATTTCGTAAATTTTATGGGGGTAATAATGACCTAATTAGCAAATAAAACCTAGTACTGGGTCGTATTTTGGCTGACTGTTTCATACCAGTTGTTAGGCCTTTGTTTTTGTACCAAATTCGACTACGGAATGTTCTGTCTACTCGATCGATACATAGAGCTCAAAATGGGTGTGACAGGTAAACATGGTATTTCATTTCATCCTAGGCACCTGATCCCACATCTAGAATTTCCGGGAGGGGGTATCCGTGTTTTATGCCCTGTTCACAGATTTGTACTGTTAGTAGTTTTTATGACATCGATCACTGTTCGTTATCTTCACCATTTTCATATAACAGTGCTAAAGTGTCTATGTTTATATACAGTTACTCTGTTGAAGGAAACATATGCAAGAATTAGACTTCACTTTATGAAAAAGAAAGATATCCAAGAATTAACTCCATAATGGAAAAAAAAACTTTTTCTTTCATTCGCTTTTGTGTGTGTGTTTGTATGTAAGGGTGAAGTACGTTTGATGATCAAGCATAAGTTCAAAAAGATGATCAAGCATAAGTTCAAAAAAAAGTCTTCTAAATTTCAGAATAAAATTTATTTTGTCAATAAATTTCAAGGTTTCAACATGGAATGAACTTAGTACATGTATTCCTGTACATAAAAAATTCCTTCTTAAAAAAATGCAAAAAAAAAAAAAACAAAAAAAAAAAAAAACAAAAAACAAAACAAAAAAACAAACAAAAAACAAAAACAAAAAAGTGGTGTTTTAATCCTGTTAAATGATAATTTCAAGTGTCTACTGCTTACTGAAAAGGTTTTGTTCTTGTTACGTTACAATCAAATACCAAAAAAATATGTTAACTACAAATTCTGTTTTGACCTTTTGAAGGTAGATTTTAAGGTCAAGATCTAGTAAATGACTTTAAATTGTCTTTTTGATGTTAGATTCATTATGACATCAGTTATAATCAATTTAAACTTTCTTTTTACCGAAATTTAAGGCTCTCAAAGAATTATGTCAAAAAAGTATTTTCATTGAATTCAATTTGAAATCATGCGAAAAGTAATCCCAATACCTATATTCAATTTAAAACCATTTTAAAGAAGAGGCTAAGAACATACAAATTACCGTTTTCTTACAGACAGTAGACAATATGGATATATTTCCTTCAACTGATATGGAAAAAATACTCCCATATTCATAAGTGGTTTTCTTAATTTTTCTTTGAAAATGTCAGTTTAAAATATGATGATTGTTTACCTAGAAATCATGCCCCGAAAAACCTTATTTGACCAAGATAAAGTTATAAAGCATCGTTAAAATATTTTATTTCTAATTTGAGAAATCTGTACACACCTTTCATTTACTTGATCTTGACCTTAACAAAATTTTTTTAAAAGGTTTCTGTTACTCTCATCATACTCATATTGATATTTGAATTCATCACACATTATTCCAACTGACAAAGACCAGTATTATAACATGACAGCCATTTTGTTTGTTTACTTTGTTGTGTTAGAAACGTTTTGTTACTCTTAAACTACATTCCTTTACATTTACAATCATTCTTTAACATCATATCAAAATCCAATTCATTCATTTTACATTCTTATTATCTGTATACAATATTCCGTTTCACTTCAATTTAAACTTCCCTGCACCTCAACTTCATTTTCACATCATTTTGTTACATCTATTCCTGCATCTTGCAAATGTCAATAAAATTAGCTTAATTTTGCATTGACTCTTCATTCATTTATGCCAATATTTAAATTATATTTATAATCACTTTAAAAAAATTTCATTGACTATCAAATGACAAATTTCCTTTCACTTGTTTCATAACCTGTCTTTTATGTTAACTACTGAAGCATTGTTAAAACTCACTACAGTTATTTAACTTTTGTGGAAACCACTAAAACATTGTTACAGTAACAACTGACTACATGTATTAATGTTTTGGTAACTATTAGGTACATTGAACAACTCAGTACGAGTCAATAATTAACATGATTAACTTTTGTGGTGCTGTTTCCTATGACTCCGCAGTGACTTTGGGTTCTTATAAGCCTTTGTACAAATGTTACACTTATACTGCTTTTCTTTAGAGTGAGTCCTGATATGACCAGTAAGAACATCTTTCCTCGCAAAAGCCTTACCACAAACATTGCATTTATGTGGTTTGTTTTCTGTGTGATTAAGCTGATGTTGTGATAGATTCTTCTCTGACCTGAACGTCTTCTCACATTTATTACACTGAAAAACTTCCCCAGAATTGTGAAGTCTACTATGTTTCTGTAAAAGAAATGGCTTTGAGAACAATTTCCCACACTGTTTACAGGAAAACTTCTTTTCCCCATGTGTGTACTTATGTGTACGCAAAGAGGAGGGGTCGCGGTATGCTTTTTCACACACATCACATTTAAATGGCTTCTCGCCTGAATGTGTCCTCATGTGTCCTCTCAGATGTTCTTTGCGGCCAAATTTTTTACCACAGAGGTTACATTCATGCTTCCTGTTTTCAGGGTGTGTCATCAAGTGCTGCCTAAAACTGCCGTATATAGAGTAAGACTTTTTGCACAGTGAACATTTGTATGGATTTTTGTTAGTGTGCATAATTCTGTGTTTTTCCAAAAGATGAGCTCTGGGAAATGATTTCTCACAGTCTTCACAAGGAAATAAATTTTCCTCATGTGTCAACTTGTGCAAACGCAAAGACCCTGGGTCTTTGTATGTTTTATTACAAACATCACAACAGAATGGTCGTTCATCTGTGTGAACACGCAGATGGTCCTTCAGCAAAGATGTCCTGGTAAATCCCTTTCCACATTTTTCACATGTATGTGGCTTTTCGCCTGTATGTGTAAACACATGGACTTTTAAATAGCTCAGTTTTTTGAATGCTTTGTCACAAACATGGCATTTGTAAGTATTTTTTTCAGTGTGGTTAATTCTATGTTTTTCTAAAAGTTGAGCTCTTGGAAATGATTTTCCGCAATCTTTACATGGAAAAAGGTTTTCTTCATGAGTCAATTTGTGTGAACGCAATGAGCCTGGGTCTTTGTATGCTTTATTACACATGTCACAACTGAATGGTCGTTCATCCGAGTGAACACGTAGATGATCCTTTAGCAAAGATGTCCTGGTAAATCCCTTTCCACATTTTTCACATTTATGTGGCTTTTCACCGGTATGTGTAAACACGTGGACTTTTAAATAGCTCAGATTTTGAAATGCTTTATCACAGACATGGCATTTGTAAGGATTTTTGTCAGTGTGGATAATCCTGTGTTTTTCTAAAAGATGAGCTCTTGGAAATGATTTTTCACAGTCTTTACAAGGAAATAAATTCTCTTCATGTGTCAGCTTGTGCGAACGCAAAGACCCTGGGTCTTTGTATGCTTTATCACAAACTTCACAACAAAATGGTCGTTCATCCGAGTGAACACGTAGATGGTCCTTTAGCAAAGACGTCCTGGTAAATCCCTTTCCACATTCTTTACATTTATGTGGCTTTTCACCTGTATGTGTAAACACATGGACTTTTAAATAGCTCAAACTCTTAAATGATTTATCACACACATGGCAGTTAAACAAACTTGAAAGTCTGGACCTCATAGACTTTGTGTGAGTTTTCTTATGACGGTTTAGAAAAGCCATTAAAGCAAATAATTTTCCACACACTTCACAACTGTATGGTTTTAGGTCTGAATGCAGCATCTTGTGTCTCCGTAAAGCAGGAGGGTCCTTAAATGCCTTGCCACAAACATCACATTGAAAAGGTCTTTCATTTGTGTGAGTTATCATGTGGTCTTTCAAAATATTTTTCCTGTGAAATTCCCTTCCACACACATCACACTGGAATGGCCTGTTTCCGGAGTGTGCATTCATGTGGTGCCGCAGGCCTGTGGGACCCCAAAAAGATTTTTGACACAAGTTACAACTATAAGGTTTAACACCTGTATGCTTGGCCAAATGAAATCTGACAGAACTCCGACAACGGAACCTCTGTCCACACACTTTACAGGAGAATGGTTTTTCATCAGTATGGATTCTTCTATGAGTCTGCAGTGTGGATGAACAAGCAAATGCTTTACCACAAAACTCACACGTGTAAGACTTTTCCCCTGAGTGTGTTGAAATATGTCTATCTAATATCCTTCTTTGAGAAAATGTTTTCCCACAAATTTCACATACTCCTCCAATTTCGTTCAAATTCCTTGTCTGACCATTATCATGGGTTGCTTTGTGACGTTTGAATCCAGAAAAGGATGTAAATTCCAAACTGCATTCTTTACACTCAAAATGTTCCCTATGGGTCATTTTGTGCTTCTTTAAAGATGAACGCTCAGGGAATCTTTTCCCACAGGTTTCACAGCCATGAGGACGATCACCAGAGTGGGTTCTCATGTGACTTTGGAGAATGCCTATCCTGGTGAAGGTCTTCCCACAGAGATCACACTTATACGGTCTCAGTCCAGTATGGGTCCTCAAGTGAAAAGATAAAGAAATCACAGTTAAGTAAGTTTTTAAACATAAGCCACACCTAAACAGCTTATCACTTGTATGTGTCCTCAAATGTTCTGAAAGCTTCTCACTCTGAGGAAACTCTTTCTTACAAACTTCACATGTAAATGATTTCTTTGGTCGACCTCTTCTTCTTGCTACTTTTGGAGAATTCTCTCTCAGTAACCTTGCTGTTGATTTCTTTTTGTGTGATAACTGATGTTTAGACAAGGTTCTCTGTGATGCTAGATTTTTTCCGCAGACATTGCAATGAAAAGGAGTTCCACCTAGATGATCCCTGACATGAAGCTCGAGGTCCGATGGTCGATGGAATGACGTCTCACACACCACACACTGGTAAGCTTTGTCACATGTTGGCTGTGACAAAGCAAATTCTTCCTATATGAAAAAAAGATCATTTTAGAAATAGATTTCCTCAGTTGTTAGAATAAATTTTTCTTCAAATTAAGCTTTTCTGTAATCATGGTAATGAACAACACCTAAGCAGTGTTTTCCCTTTATTTCAAAGTAAAGGGTTAAAGATCAACTGTAACAGGCTAGAGGCTGAGGTTTATGGACAAAATCTTTCTGGACCTTACAACAATTATATTTAATTTTTTTTATTTATAAGCGGCATTTCTGTCAGCTGAAGTGATCAATTTGGCCGGTAGCTGGTTAGGGAAAACACTGTCTAAGAAAATATTCTCATATGCTATTATCATGATTATTAAACTTTTTGAGTATATCAGCTTTAGCCTCTACAAGTGTTGTTGTGTTTGTGTAATTTTTTAATTATATCACATTTCTCAGGGACATATCATTTTTTTTTTTAGCAACATGTTGATAAATTGTTAGCTTTTTATCCTTAAAGCAATCCTAAATACAGTAAATTCTGACATGCTTAAAATGTAATCATATTAATTCATTACCAAATTCACATCTATAATCATATTCTTCACCATGCACACTTAAATTGCACAAAAGTTCTTCTTTTTTTTTTTTTGAAAAATGGAGGTTTTTTGCAATTTTGCAATTGGGAATGGGGCCTGTATTTGGCCCTACACAGAGCAGTAAAAAATCCCTAGATTCCATCAATTGCAATAAAGAGGCTAGATTCCTATACCCAGTTCCCAAGAGATACATGTATAGATAACATTTGCTTGATCAGAGGTGCTCTACCAGAAATCATCTTACACTAGACTCATAAATTAATCTCTAATTTGACAGATGCTCTTATAAAATTCTCTTTGAAACATTTTTGCTTGATAATTACACCCATGGGACAAGTGGAATATCGATATTCAATAAAATCTTACAAAAAGAGTAATTTGCCCTTTTTCAAGTAAAATATGGTAGCAAACAGTGATTAGAAATAAAAAGAAACAGCTACTATATGAAACCACTTCAAGTTAAAGCTGTGTCTGACTATTGTGAGACTATTAACAACTCTTGTGGCAAAAAGGAACTCAACAAGCCACATGCGCTGGTACCACATGGCCAGACAATTGTTGGTATTAACTCAAGAACATGATATTTGCCTTTGCGTTTTCAAACAAGAGGAAAAAACATAGGTAATCAGAGATTACATAGCTCACCTCAACGAATGTTGTCTTTAAGTAAGGCAAAGTCCCACACTAAACTAATAATCTTAGACTAGTAGTGTCCCTAGATGCAACATTTATGCAAGTTTGGTCAATATAGAGATTATATAGTTACTTGGAAATGATATCTGCTCCAAAAACTTTAACCTGGTCACTCATCCAGAAAATTGTAAGTCAGATCCAGCATCCAAGGCAAGCCTGGTAGTGTGCATCCTTAGGTGTATCATCCATGCAAGTCTGGTCAACACAGGGCTTATAGTTACTTGGAAATGAGACCTGCTCCAAAAAATTTAACCTGCTCCAAAAACATTAAGCTGGTCATTCTTTAGCTGAAATTGCAGCATCTGAAACCTTGACTGGTACAATGAAACTCACTAGAAGCATCCTCCATGCACCTCTGATTGACACAGGGCATAGAAGTACTTGAAAAAGAAAACTGCTCCAAAAACTTTAACCTGGGACGCTGACGTCGAGGGTATTACATAAGCTCCCCCAACTTCGTTGAGGTGAGCTAAAAAGCAAAAATGAGTACAAATTTAATATTGTGATGTATTGATATACAAAATTTATTATTCAATGTTTAGCGATGTGATTTTTCAGTTACGTAACTTTAAAACATATATATTTTTAAAATTTCACCTTAATTAAAAGGTCATAGTGATCTTAAAGTAGGATGCAAAACCTTCCACCAAAGATGCATTAAATGATCAAGTTTGATGATACTAGATCTACAGGTACCTTTAGTAATAGTTTTCCAGTGATGAGCCGGACAGGATTTTGCCCTATTTGGCCATCTACTTAAATTAATGAAAGAAAAAAGTGACTTAATTTTAATTTATGACACACCTTTTACTCAAGATGTATCAGCTGACAAAGTTTGATTATTCTAGGCCTCATAGTCCATGAGCCGGACACGAAAAAGCAGACAGACAGATGGACAGACACAAACGCCATGCCATAATGAGTCCTATCTTAAGAAGGGCGTATAAAAAGCTTTTGGAACTTCCAACTCAGTTCGACATATCCATGATATTCGAGATATCAATGTTCAAGACACAGTAGTTCGGCTGTATTTGTGTCCACTGAGTCACCCACTGACCTGTAATTTCTGTTCATCTTCATCTGACTGGTTCATGTTTTGATCATCTGACTGGTTCATGGTTTGATCCAGAGACTGTTGTGGCTCATCATTCTCCACTGGTTCAAAACCACAATCAGGTTCATTCTGGTGTTTATCAAGAACCATCATATCTGGTTCACCAGGAGACATCACACTGAAAATGAATATTAGTGCCATTTATTTTAATATCAAACAAGTTAATAAATACTGTTCCAAATAATATTTTTTGAATACTAAATTGATATAAACAAATAAATGAACAAGAGGCCCAAGGACCTTAATGGTCACCTGAGTAAAATACAACAATTTAGAGGATCCATAAACTGATAAATGAAGCTTTGTTGCCCAAAAGCAAGAAAAATAGCATGATTAGCATTAGGGCCGTCACAGTTCCAAAATGTTTTGGGTCGGGTCGGTTCTGTAAATTTTTGGTTCGGTTTCTTACCTCTATTTTAAACCTTATCTTTATGAATTTAACATAAAAAAATCTTTTTTTGTTACATTACATTCACCTTTTAAATAAATCTTATTCATGTTAACGTCTTGACATCGATGTTCAGGACTATTAGGCCTACTATATATAGCTATTAGCTACAATCTGACCATTCTTGCTTGTTTTGATAATTATCTAATCCTTTTGTGACAAGTGTTTTGTCATGGAATGAAGTATAATTCAGTTACGATGTTTATTTATCACCGTTATCATCATCATTCTTCTGATTTTGACACCATTTTTTTTGTATAATAATAAACAATCATAAGTAGTAGTCTAACATTTAGTGTACCCTTTTTTTTTATTTCTATCAGAATTCATATAATAATAATACCACAGAAAATTATATATTTCTATTTTAGTTCTTAGAAACCATAATTCCAGTTTACGAGATGGAATGTAAAGAGGACGCTGTGAGCTCAGAAAAAAAAAAAAAACGGAGGAGGGGGATGCCACGAAAATTGTTTTTTTATTGTTGTTGTTTTTTTTTTTAAAAAAAAAAACTTTTCTGCAATGGTCAGATAAATACATTAAAAAGGAGGTCTCTGACAATAATTGCCATTTTATTAATTTTCTTAAATTGTTCCAATAAAGGCCGGCTTGAAATTGAATTGCTATATGTTTAGGAATTAAATTCAGGTAATATGGACTTTTCCCAAGAGCATTATACCCAATGTTGAAGATAATAACAATTCCATCAACAGTGATATTATGATAGAAAATATTTATGAAACATGTAGAAGAAACAACTGTTACAGATTAAACAATATATTAGGCTGTAAAGAAATCTTTTGAGAATAAATCACTGATAGAGGAAAATGTACAAGTAACAAGTGGTTATGGGTGTAATATTCAAATGTTATGAAAATGTTCAAAATCATCAACCACATATTAATACCAATCGTAAGACAACAAAGACAATAGAAATCTATATTTTGAGAAAGATGAAAAAATAAAAGCACTGGTGATGTTTTGAGCCAATAAAAACCCGGAAGTTCACGTAAAACTTTGATGACCATGAAATATGAAAAGAAGCATTTTTTTACTGAATATATTAAATGCATGCATGTAATAAATTAGTCACGACTCGCGTTGAAATCTTGGACGTCGATCTCAACTCTGGTATCTCGATACCCCGGATATTCCCACAGTTTCTGAAAGTTCTCTTGATGTCGGGATACTGAAGTTTATGGCTGTACATGACTTTAAAGAAAGGGATTCAACAAACACACAAGCCTTTCTGCTTTTAAAGAAAAAAAAATGTTTCTATTCCAGTCGTGTGGTAACAGGCAAAACAAAAGGCCCATGGGCCACATCGCTCACCTGAGTAACTTTGGCCATGCTGTTCTTTACCAGATTTCCCCCCTTTTAATACACCTATTGTGGCCCCGCCCTACCCCTGGGGGTCATGATTTGAACAATTTAGAATCTACACTAGCTCAGGATGCTTCCATATAAGTTTCAGCTTTATTGGTCCAGTGGTTCTTGAAAAGAAGATTTTTAAAGATTTTTCTTATGTGTCCCGCCCTACCCCCGGGGGTCATGATTTGAACAATTTAGAATCTACACTACCCCAGGATACTTCCATATAAGTTTCAGCTTTTCTGGACCAGTGGTTCTTGAGAAGAAGATTTTTAAAGATTTTTCTTATATATTTCAATGTAAAACTTGGATTCCCTATTGTGGCCCCGCCCTACCCCCGGGGGACATGATTTTAACAATTTAGAATCTACACTATCCCAGGATGCTTCTACATAAGTTTCAGCTTTTCTGGACCAGTGTTTCTTGAGAAGAAGATTTTTTAATGACCCCACCCTATTTTTGTCTTTTCTTGATTATTTCCCCTTGTAAGGGGACTTGGCCCTTTATTTTAACAATTTATACTCCCCTTCACCCAAGGATACTTTGTACCAAGTTTGGTTAAAATTGGCCCAGTGGTTCTTGAAAAGAAGTTGAAAATTTGAAAAGTTGGTAATGCATTTTCACTAGTATATAATCAATACCGCCCCACCCTAACACCAGAACCCCTAACCCTGGGGCCACGAAATTCACAATTTTGGAAGAGGCCCTCTTGCTCATCATAACTATGTACTTAGTTACTTTATTTAATACCCAGGAGCAGAGAAGAAGATTTTCAAAGAATTAATGCATTTTCACTATATAATGATTCAGAAATTGAATACAGCCCTGTCCTAACACCAGAACCCTTGACCCTGGGGCCATGAAATTCACAAATTTGGAAGAGGCACTCTTGCTCATCATAAGTATGTACTTAGCTACTTTATTTAATACCCAGGAACAGAGAAGAAGATTTTCAAAGAAATAATGCACTTTCACTATATGATCTATATAGCCCCACCCTTGCACCAGAAGTTGAACCCCTGACCCTGGGGCCATGAATTTCAAAATTTTGGTAGAGGGCTCAATGCTTATTACATTCATGCCAACAGTTTGACTGCTTGATTTCCAGGAGTAAAGAAGAAGATTTTTAAAGATTGCATTAATTTTTGTGGTTTTAGCCCCATCCCTCAGGCCTCAGGGGGACAGGGACCATGAAATTCATAATTCATATTCCCCTTCACCTATAGATGCTATATGCCAAATTTGGTTGAAATTGGTCAAGCGGTTTCAGAGAAGAAGCTAAAAATGTTCAAATGTTAATGCAAGACGCATGCCGACGGACGAAAACGGATAGCAATAGGTCACCTGAGTGACTCAGGTGACCTGAAAAGTGATAAAATTTCAATAACTGTAAATCGTGAACTCTGAGATCTGTTTAGGTAACATATTACTAAACAGCACAGTTGAAATGCTCATTTTCTTTATATGTACCTGTGTAAGGAGTTCAGCTATTTTAAATGATTTTTCAAAAAAAAAAATATTAAAATACCATATTATCATATAAATTCTTTTTAATGAAGAAAAATATCAGAAAGGGAGATAAATCATATTTGAACTCACTTTAGTTTTAGGTCTGGTAATGCATTTACAGCACAACAGTTAAATAAATGACCTAGTAGGATTAAGAAAGGATAACTCTGGGTAAAGATTAACCTGAGTCGAATTCAAGTATACTTCTACCTAAACAAATGACAAACTATATTTATACTATAAAAGTGTATATAAATGTCTCATGATTTGTAAACTATTGTCTACTACAACAAGTAATATTTAATTTCCAAAAATAAATCTTCGTGATTATTTTATTTTTTCACTAGGGTCTAAAAATGAGAATGAAACCCAATGTAACACATCAATACAACAGAAAGCACACTTGACTGAATCAACTGCACTCTGCCAAAAATCATCAGACCAAGACCAAATTCGAACTTTTCTGGTAATATTCCTGCATATGCAATTTCAACCTTATACATACATCCCTACAAAAGTTAGAGAGCCGAAACTGAAAATCAACTGTTTAGAAATCCTGTAGTTTTTATAAGACCACTTAGGCTACCTTGATGCAAAATGGACTAGACCAGACCAAACTTTTACTAGTCTAAGTCAGTTGGACGTACCTTGGTTAATGTTCAGCCCTGATTTATTCCTTTTGTAAAAGTGAGACCGAGATCAAAATAATGTGAGATAGTCTAAACTTTATGGCCAGGGAGCCTGAAGTACATTAGCATGAAATAATAGAGTGAGACCAAGACCACAGGGAAGGTCCAGTTATTGAGTTAAACAAGGGCTCCTCAAAGCAGAGCATAACCCTCTGCAATAAAAAAAAAAAGCATACTGGTTCCGATATTTTACTTCCAATTCATACAAACTCGCCCATTAACTTACATACCCATAACTGGCATAAGAGCATTACTTTAATTCTTATTAAAATTAAAAATTTTTACTATTATTGAGAGGGGATAAAAAAAAATCTTGACACAGTTGAATTTCTTTGAAATTAATGCTGATTCAGAAATGAAAGAAATGCCAATCTATCACATATCTATGCTTCGTTCTTGTAACTTAATGTAAGAAAATTAAATTATATTTCATTTAAATACATTTATAATGTGTTTAATTTTAAATGTGTAATTGATAAATTCATTCAGTATACTACATGTAGTTATAAGTTTTGAAACTGGCATTTTTATCAATTATATACTTGTCTAATACTACTACTATATGGAAGGGGGTGGATGGGAGGTAGTTATATGTAAAAAAAAACATCTGGCTCATGTAGATACATCAGGGACCTAAATAAAGGTCCGGCACAATCTCTTGATTTAGCCATATACACATGTAGCTAGCTGCAGAATTAAATGTTATGATTTTATATTTTAGTCTTCGACCATGTAAACTTCCATTCTTCCGAGGTCAATTCAGAGAAATGAGCTCCAAATCGAAGAAATTGTATCCGTTTTCTGTTGATTAAACGTGTGTTGACAACTGACAAATGCATCAACATTTAGGAAAATCATCACTGTAGGGGACAGAACAATGACAACAAAATAAATTAATGCTTTAGAGTCCAAAAATTATTTTACATTTAACAATCCAGAAGACAAGCCCCTATGGGATGTACCGTTTTTAACTTTAACGTGAACAAACATACATTTAGTCCGAAATATCTGACGTTTTCCAGGCTTTTTTCATGATTTTGATATTTTACGTGCCAGGAAAACGTCAGAACCGGCGCCATTATGAAAACTGGAAAATGGAGGCGGCATTTTCGGGTTGATTTTGATTCGATACTTGCGAACCGAATTAAATGCTGAATTCACAACTTATATATAGAACAATGCCTTTAGTACTCATCAACATCGTTTTTATGGTTTGTTTATAAAATATACAGTCCGGTGAAAACATTTTATCAGACCCTCGAGTTTTGTTTTCAATTCGTGCATTTTAAAATCTTGCAAGACCTATATCGAAATGTAGACTGATATTTCCTTCTCATCGATATTGGTGAGTATTAGAACATTGTGCTATTGATAAGGCCAAAAAAAAAATAGTCTTGTTTCCTGCTACCCGACCTACCCTATTTTTTTGCACCTGACCCTAAAGTTTTTTTAAGTTTTGGAAGAAAAAAAATCGGGAATTTCTGGTATTTCATGGTTTTGTCGCCATAATCGGTTTCAGTGTTAACACAAAACAAGCATTTCATAAAATTCTTGTTTTAAAATATGGACTTTCATAAAATACCCTTGAGTTGTGCATAAAAAAAGACATGAAATTTAATTTTAAAAGACAATATTGACATGTGACATGTTTAATTTGATCTTGTATTAGTTCATATCCAAAAAATGCCATCAGAAAAAAATAAAATGAAAAAATAAAATAAAATAATTTTCCTACCTACCTACCCTATTTTTTTCAAGCTGGTAGCAGGAAACAAGACTATTATTTTTTTTGGCCTAAATTGTAAATTCGGCATTTAATTCAATATCGCAAGTATCGAAAATCAGCTCCGATTGAAGACTGCAAAATTTCCAGTTTTCGTAATGGCGCCGGTTCTGACGTTTTCCTGGCACATAAAATATCAAAATCGTTAAAAAAGCCAGGAAAACGTCAGATATTTCGGACTAACATACATTCGTTTGTGCTGGATGCAGGGACCTACAGTATATGCTGATATACTTAAATTTTATAATTTATTTATTATTAAATAAATTCTTGGATACATGTAACAGCTTCTTCTCTCTAAGCGTGTATAAAACACTTGCATATATAAATACTAAACACCAGTATACCTGAAACATGTTTCCTCGCACGTCAACTAATTTGAGTTTCCCTGAATTTGCATAACGAACCCGATAAGTTGTTTCAAGCAGAAAATTGTCTGTGTAAGAGCTTACTCGAATTACTGATAATACCAAAAAACAACCATGAAAGTATCGTATCAGTATTAAATCTTATATCAAGCATGTTAAAGGGAAAATATTAATAATGAATTATGCTACTGCTCACTAAAATCGAGATCGAGAAGCAAAAAAATATTTTTCTTTGTGAGGAGACTAATTTTTTTTCTTCCAATTTTGTAATATTTTTGAGATTACTTCAGTGTGCGTAGGGTCAGTACTCTTTCAACAATTTAAACAAAACTGTTAAGTTAAATGTCCTTGATGTGTTAAGATAATATGTAAGACGGTGCGACCGTTGGTGAGGGCGGAGCCATCAAGTGAACATTTCTACATTTTATTGTTTAATGATAAATCAGTGTTAAAATCAAGTTGCAAGTCATAACAAAAACCTCAGCCCTTTGAAAAAACTCTAATTAAGTTCTCTTACCTCAAATATTTTTTATTTCAAACAAAGAAATTTAAGAGTATTTGGTTTTATAAATCTGGAAAACTTTTACTAAGATATTTCATCATGAATTGCTTGGCCAGAGCACTCAAAATCAAATAGCATAACGGGGAAAGAGTGTGCACTGGACCAGTGTCGCCAGTCAAGGATTCAACCTACCCAGGCCCAAGAACTCTTAAACGTTAACTTTTTCATCTATATGTATCTGTCCAACAATTATACGTGAGCTTGCATGAGCATCATTTCTTTATCTTTCACGACTTGATTAAAAACCCCAATCCAGAAACATCAAGTCATTTAATTCCCATCTTTTACTTCCAATGCATGGTTATGACATCAAATACAAATAAGGACAATTGTCAGGGACTACATCGGAAGTTGAACTTGGGACCCAAACTACAGAAAGCTGATCTGACTCCTTGGTTATCAGGACACTTGGAAGCTGATCATCTGACCAACACTAGGACTGTGTATCGTGAGAGCTGAAAGTATCAGCATCGCAAAATTTCTGAGAATTATTTTCTTAATTTTAATGGAAAAATGTAGAGTGAATTTAACGTTTCTGCATTTTTTAAAAAAAACTAATCTGATTCGAATAGTCGTTAGTGCTTTCTAAAACTAACATAAAAGCAAGATATTTTTTTTCTTTTTAATATCTGGAAAAACGAATTTAACTCAATAAAAGTTTTTTTTTTCCAGATATTAAATTGTTTAAGCGAAAACTATTAGAATTTTAAAACCAAAATTTGTGAATAATAGGATACATTTCTGGGAAGTATCGAATAGAATATTTATCAATGTATCGAACCCCCCCCCCCCCTCCTCTGCATCAGTAATTGATGTTTTGTGACATCCCTATCCACAACATAATAAAATGGATCATATATGGAAGCTTTTAAAAAAAAGATATTTTAGCACTACTCAACAACTTTGAACTCTTTACATGGATTAGCATGGGTAATGTCAAATGAAGATTCGGTTTTTTTTTTGGGGGGGGGGGGGGTTAAGCCAAGAGAACATGAAACTTTATTCATATATGTCATGTATTTTGCCATCCCTCCTGTATTGTTTAACTTACTTTTTCTCATATGGTTATGTATTGTTTAACTTAATAGTTTTTCTCATGATTTTGGACTTATACACTATCATAGTCCACCATAGGTTCCAACTGGCTGAATACATTTTCAGTTCTATATTTTTAAAAGTACTTTTTAAAATAAAAATTAGAAATCATTTTATTTTATCCGTTGAAACGTATCCACATGTATAAATGGAACATGTGTTTGATGTGGTAGTTTGAGCTTCCGACATGTCCAAAGATTTTTCTTTTGATGGTGAGCTTCACAAAACTGAAATTTAACACTTAAAAATTAAATCTTTTGAGAAAAAATATTCACAACAAAAATGAAACACAGGCCTCCACCGGTAAATGTATAAAGGAACAAGCAAGCAATCAAAGACAAGAATGAATGAATGAATAAATAAATACATGTAATAAATAAATTAAAAAAAATAAAATTAAGAAAAAAAATTTTAAAATTAAAATGCATACCCCTTCCCCCCTTCCTGAGTTCATACCAGAATTCAGTAAAGCTTTTTCATGCTTTTTACCACTAAAACATTTTTTTTAATGTATTATTCATGGCCATAGGAATCGGGGGGGGGGGGCACGGGGGGCGTCCCCCCCCCCAATAATTTTCGTCGATATATAGATTACTATAGAAAACATAGCTACTATATGTTTGTGCCCCCTCAATAAAAACGTGTGCTGACCTTTTTTTTTTTTTTTTTTTTTGCTTGTCAAGGAATTTATGATTAATAGTGCCCCCTCAACTGAAAATGTATGGCTGTGCCCCCCCCCCCCCCAAATAATAAAAAAAAAAACTGAAATTGCTTCCTACGGGCCTGTTATTCAATAGAAAAATTATACTATGTCACAAAAAATCTTATATTTCTAGTATGTGTATTGAAAATAATCCTGAAGACATTCGTAATTAATAAATTTTATTAACAAATAAATTAGAGTTGTTTCTTTTCCCTAAAGTCTGGTGAAACGGCCACAGAAAGATCCGCCCCTCCATAGTGCGTAGTACGCATTCTAGACAGTGACGTCACTGGAATTCGTTAAACTGAGTTTTTTTTGTTTCACCAAAATATAGTAAGGTTTATTAAAAGATGAATAAATCTGTTTTTAAAAAGAGAGTACGCATATGAAATATCAATTATTACAGGTTGTTAAAAATGCAACAGTTTCCGCTGATTCATCAATGAATGACGTCACATGTCAGGTCTATGACGATCGAGAGCAAGTTAGTTGAAAACGAAAGTAACAAGGATGTGTACCATAAGGGTGTTTTTGATTATTAGAATTGATAAAACTTCATTAACGCAGGATTGGAATTAAAATTACGATTCTCCAGCATCTCGTTAATGCGGGAATTAGTCGCGAGATTCAAGATGGAAAAGACTATGGACGCCATATTGGCGACAAGGTTCTCAGTTCCATAGGTATTGTAATAAAATTATAGCTTACAATAGAATTCAGTATATTTTACATACATACGTGTTACCTATAGGGAGAGCTTCGCTCTCACGGGCCCTTCGGGCCCGTGAGAGGGCTCCGCCCTCTATTAATTCACGGGCATTGAGTCTGACTACAGATTTCAGTTATGAACGAAGCGTATAAGATGTCAGGATGTGTATGCAGAAACAGATGAGAGGATACAGCAAATGCCAAGCCCAAGGTATATATTATATAAATATTGGGAATACTTCTAGTATACCGGTCCCTATAAATATGGCGCTAAAATAGGTGCCGCCGAAGGCGGTGTACAATATAATACGATCGCGTGAGCGATCGACAAAATCGATAAAAAAGGCCACAAATCGAAAAATTGAGCCAAAAATCGTGTTCCTTGTGAAAAATTGGGTTTAAAAAACTGGTTTTTAAACACAGTTTTTTAAATGAGAATTAAAAGGTTTCGTAAAATAACGTACTTGTTTAGTAGATAAAACTCCATTTTGCGTTGTTTAGGAATGTGGCCACATGATCAGTTTTTGACGTAATCTCATAAATATTCATGACGTGCGTCACTTGTGTTTTGACGTAATGAAGACTGATGAAGAAGTATAGCTGATAGGACTCAAAGTGAAATGCTACTAAAATTGCGAGATTTTTTGTGAGAAATGCAGGGATTTAACAAGTGATAACTAATTACTAGTAATTGGTTGATTGAATTGTACATCACCATTGATTTGAAAGAAAAATATTCTGAATATGGACATTAGGAGGTTAGGATATCGAGCTTAAGTAAATGGTAAGTCGCTTTTACCAATTACTTGCCAAAACTTAGCGCACAATATCGGGCATGTTTCAACATTAGACCAAGGCTAATTCATCCAAGTTTCGCAAAACTTTCCTGTTCTTCCGGTTCTTTGTAAGCAAAAATTGCATATGATGAATAAGCCCAAAGTGATATAGATGCGAGCATGGGTGAATATAAAACAGTTACAATATCCGAGCTATATATACACTAACCCTAATCCGTAGATCGCATACAATGCCATATTTAATTAACGGTTTGTTTAAGTTTTGCATGTTTCATGCTTTACTCCTATAAGATGGTATATCGGCATGGTTCGACATTAGGCTGATTCATGCAAGTTTTTGGTCACAAAAGGCACTTGGCAGTGCCTTTTGTAAGCAAAAATTACATGAATTAGCCCAAAATCAGGAAGATTTAAGAGTGGATTTATAAAACAGTTCCAATCTTAAAACAATATACCCTAACCCTAATCACTCGATCGAATGCGTTTTGTTGAAGCGAGGGGAAAATGGCGGTTTGTTTACATTCTGCATAGCAACGGCAAGGGAAATAACTGCTCATGCGCAATCGCGTGATTCTGGGGACCGGCATACTAGAAACTTCCCTAAATATTGCATGTAGTTGAGTGTAACATTGAAAATTAAACCATTGTTAACCGAGGCTAGACGAGATTTACAATGCTTTTTGAGGGGTGAAAATTTTCAATGTCACACTCAACTATATATGCAATATTTATTTTATTATTACTGAATGTTTTATACAAATACATAGTTACTATTAGTATGTTGGGGGTGCGACCGTTGGGGCGAGCGCAGTTGTTCAAGATCCGCCTCTTCAAAACGCACGGGACATTTGGAACGTCTTGACTGTGACGTCACATGATGTCGTATATTAGCTGAATTTTTAATAATGGAAGTTTGAAAAGTGCGAAATTTTAACAAAGAACATTTAATCTACTACTGTATCTGTATGCAATATTCTTAAATCAAAGGTGAGTTTATGTGAACTTTTGTTGTTCAACATTCGCGCTCATCACCTCGTCATTTCCATTTCGGGATGATTTTTGACGACCTGATTTTCAGTCTGGCTCGCCCAAATGATGACTTGGGACAAGTTGGGAATATTCAATAATGTTTAATATTTTAAAATAAACTTCATAAGTCCTTGAAAACATTGTTTTCTGTAACCTGACCGACCCTTTCAAATTGCAGCTGCATGGATTTTTCTTTCTGCCAAATCTTTGCTCGATCAATCAGCTGATGCAATTTTTATCAAAATCTTAAATTAAGCATTATTTGAGATATAAAATATGTCAACCTAGTCAACAATCACCTTAAATATAAAGAGTAAGGATCATTATTGTAACATATAGCATTTCCCCCACAACTTTCTGATGTTCCTTTTTCTGCTGCTAGACAGCAGGGCTCGACATTAACACTTGTCCACTTGTCCGTTACCAGTGAAAAAAAAATATGGACAAGTGAATGTTGTTGGGCACTTGTCCGATTGAACAAGTGCATTTTTATGTAAAGAAGTCTCTAAATATTTAAAAGAACGACTGTTGAAAGTTTGCCGGTACTTTAAGACGGAAAAAGTACATACAAACCGAACTTTGATCCTGATATAGATCGCTATGTAATTGAGTACACTCGAAGTTCACTAATTGCATACTACTGCAAAGGCATGGAACTGACGAAGTTTGGATTCTGTTTTATGTTGACAGCATTTATGTTGTCAGGACAGAAAGTCTAGATAAAATTTTATTTTATGTGTTTGTTGTATTTGTAAATAACATCATGCAGATGTAATGGACTTTATTTTTAGTTTTTCAGTTAACAGTATTAGATCTTTATTGAAAATTTTTCGGACAAGTGAAGTTGAAGTTTGGACCAGTAAATGTCTTGGTCACTTGTCCGAATGGACAAGTAGGAAAAAAAGTTAATGTCGAGCCCTGGACAGCCATGTTGAGTGTCCTGGTGAGTGACTGTAAACATCACACCTGGTTAATTCATTCGGGCAACCTAACAACCTAACAGTACCAACTAACCAAGGTTGCCCAAATGGCGAGAACAATTTTGACGAGTGTCGAACCCTGAATAAGCGTTGCATTGTGCAGGGTTTGACACTTGTCAAAATTTGGACTCGCCATTTGGGCAACCTTTGTACTGATTTCAGGTTGCCCGAATGAATTTCAGGTCGCCCGAACAAATATCAAATGAAACAAAAATGTGCAATTGTTTAAAATTTGTTAAGATAACAGAAGTTATGCTTTTGTATTATAAAATGTAAACCAGATATTTTTGGAATGCCAAAACCTGTCTTCCAGTATTTTATCAAACAAAGATAACAGCCAACAGATATTTTATGAAGTTTATTTTAAAATATTAAACATTATTGAATATTCCCAACTTGTCCCAGGTCATCATTTGGGCGAGCCAGACTGAAAATCAGGTCGTCAAAAATCATTCCGGGATGGAAATGACGAAGTGACGAGCGCGAATGTTGAACCCTGATTGTGGGTCCAGAGGTTACTACGGAAAAAAATTTCTTTGGATGAATGTGCACAGTCCGAATTTTATCTTCCCCAAGGTGTTGTCATTAGAGCTCACTGCCCTCACTATAACAGTAAACCTTGTGCGCATAAATTCTGCGCAGTCACTATTTTTTGGAATATCACCCATCATCAAGCAATGTTGACTCTTGCTATGCTGGAGGGTGTGGCTTCATCATTCAGCGGGTGATAGTGTTTTTTAAATAATGTTTTTCCACGAATCAGATTCAACTAATTTACAAAGTATAATATTACAGAATATTGATTGTGGTCTCTTCGTCTGTTTAAAGCAAATTTCTAGCAGAATTCGCTTTGACACTGCATGTTATCCATTATGTAGGTCTACCTTAAAAAAAGCACTTCTTTGTGACACATCTGTAGTGTTTATCAATAGCTGCAAAAACTTATTCTCTGGGAAGGAATGTTTAGACAGAAACCTACCAGAAAATAGCATGGATCCCTGGCAACATTTTTTTTGTTACATGTTTATGGTACATTTTTAGTCCCCTACCGGTGAAACCGGAGGGGACTATAGGTTTCCTCTGAGTCTGTCCGTCCGTCTGTCCATCCGTCTGTCTGTCTGTCTGTCTGTCCGTCTGTCTGTCTGTCTGTCTGTCCCTCTGTCTGTCTGTCAGTCTGTCCCACTTGGTTTTCCGCACTTTTTACCTAAACGCTAGCAGATATTGAGCTGATTTTTGGTATGTGAGTGTATCTTGATGAGTTACAGATCAAGTTTGCATTTCGTTCCGCTTCATTGATTTTTGACGGAATTACGGCCTTTTCAATTTTTAGAGGTTTTCCGCAATTTTCTTCTAAACGCTTTCAGATATTGAGCTGATTTTTGGTATGTGACTTTACCTTGATTAGTTATAGATCAAGTTTGCATTTCGTCCCGTTTCATTGATTTTTGACGGAATTATGGCATTTTCAATTCTTAACGGGAACCAGATTACACTTGCCGGTAGGGGACTAGTATTGCTAATGCAATACTCTCAGAATGCTTGTTTATTTCTCACAATTAAATATTCATATGCATTCCTCTGCCTATAAGGCATGGTATCCTTAAATTATCCATTTATTTCACTCCTGCTAACTCTTACTACTTCATTTACCTATCAAAGGTTCCAGGAACCCTCTATGAAATTGAAATTTGGCATTCTGATGTCCATGTTGGGACTATGTTAAAATTATAAGACTGTTAGGATGCATCCCAAAATGTCACGTATAAAACTAACCAAGCTAATACTACTTGCTGCCTGGCAATGTACCTGTCCCATAAACATGTGTGGCAGTCAAGCAGTGGCAATGATTGTCACAGACTCTCAACAGGCCCATAGGAAGCAAATTCAGTGGGGGGGGGGGGGGGGGGGGGCAACCATACATTATCAGTTGACAGTTGAGGGCAAGCAAAAAAAAAAAGGAAGAAAAAAAGGTCATCAATCAACTACCAAAAATTCCTTGACAAGCAAAAAAAAAAAAAGGTCATCAGACAATTTTATTGAGGGGGCACAGGCATATAGTATCTATAGGGGCACAGGCATATAGTATCTATGACTATAGTAATCTATATATTGGCAAAATTATTGGGTGGGGCATCCCCCCCTCCACAGTTCCTACGGCCATGTTCAATAAGCAGGTTTCACTTATCTAAACTAGATGCAACGTTATCCCTATGAATGCCCCCGCAAGCAGCCCAAATTTCAAATGCAATACTTAATTTTGAATTTGTATTCGAAATCGACCTGGTAAAATACCTGCATATGGTATTTCAACCTTTTACATACATCCCTACAAAAGTTAGAGAGCAGAAACTGAAAATTTCTTAATTTTCTAAGTTCAAGAGGGATAACTCTGTAAAATACCTGCATATGGTATTTCAAAAATCATACCTACAAAAGGTAGAGAGTGGTAACTGAAAAGAACGAGTGCACTTAAGGGCCCCGGAAAAATGTGAAAAAATGAAGAATCAAATTAAGCATATTTTTTCATCTCAGATCATTAATTGATATCTAAACCGTAAGATTCAACAAATATTATCGCTGAAATTCATGAATATACAAAGAGCAAAGCCATAAAATGTGGTAGGGGTCAGCCAACATTCGTGATTTTCTATAGTAAATCGAGGACGGTCATTCATTTCAAAGCTTTTGTTTACTGTCAGCCTAACGTTGTACAAACTTGTGCAAATGACAAAAAGCGCATTATACATTTATAAAACTTGTGTGAAAGTAGGAAATTTGTACAAGATTAGGCTTGTACTTAAAATATTAAAAATGTATGAAAAGTTCAATGTTTTTCCTATAGCAAGCGAAAGCTACCTGTATGGCTTATGTTGAACCCACCCGTGGAATAAATTATTTAAAATACCGGTAGTCACGTGAGTTCTACCCAAGTAAACATTCCTCAATGGTGCTCACTATAAGAGATAGTCATGTACATTTTGTATCATTATATCGAAGTCGTGCCGCATAGAGAAGTTTGTATGTATGTGGTTTTAGGAACACGGGAGGGTTAGGAGAGTTTAGTGTCGTTAAAATGTCATCATACATAAAAGCGTCAAACATTTTTAACATTCATGCAGGACAATGCTACCGGTATTGAGAGCCACATTTTAATATCTAAAGGAACTAATGTTAATACTTATTGTATTATTTCAAATGCAAGTGTGCAAATTTCTTAGTTTGATCACTATGGCTACCATCTTCGCTAGCCAAGGGTTTCCGATCCGAAATCTACTCTACAACAGGGTTGTAGAGTAGATTTCGGATCGGAAACCCTTGGCTAGCGAAGATATATGGCTACAGGCATCTATACAACTTCATTTGATTTTTCTTCTCAGGTAGAATAGTGCAAGAAGTATCATTCGACAGACGCGCCTGTCAATGATCCACCATCAGATTGTTCAAGTGTCCGATTTAGATGTCTCCTCCCCTTGATTTAAATAAACGAAACTCGAATAGGTTCGGTACGACTTTTCCGGATTTAAGGTATCTATAGGCATTTAAAAATCTTCATTTGTTTCAAATCCGTGCTGATATAGGTGATGTTTTAACGTGATTTTAATTAGAAATATCCACTTGTGTTTAACTATTACCAAAAGAGAACAATTTGGTAATATATTCAAAAGTAATACGGCACTGAAAAGGGCCCATTAACCATTGCTTAAGTGCACTTGTCCTTTCTTATTTTTTCCTAAGTTCAAGAGGGATAACTCTTTCAAAATATATACTGTATTTATATCACTTATTTTTGTGGGGTTAAATTTTCGTGTATTGAGGAAAAGATATTGGTTCATAGGGATTTGATTTGTGGTTAAAGGTGTTTTGATCAATATCTGAAATTGTTGTTCATATGAAATTTTACATTTTGTGGTGGACATGAATTCTTGGACTTCTTCATACCATGAAAGCATAAAATTTTCAGTATTAACCCCCCCCCCCCCCCCCCCATGAAAACAAGTGATTTCACGATAAACTAGAACTGACAAATGTGCTTTTAAAGTTTGAACTGAATATTATAATATTATTGCGAACTGTGTGTATAATTCCCAATTCTTTTAAATACCAAAATTGTTTAATTATATTTTTGCAGGTGCTACTGAAAACTGTTAAGATAATCTATAAAACATCAAAATTCAAAGGATGATGGCACATATATCTGATGAGGATGCTTATGATTCTGCAGAGGAGATCAAAGAAAGCAACACTGAACATGAAGAAGAGGTAGACAAATCAATGACAGACTCAAAGGGGAAAATCAGCAATTGTCTTGCACATGTTGATGATGATGATGAAAATGATGATGATGAACAGGATATGTCAAGTGAAGAGGGAGAAGAGATAGATAAATTGTCGACAGACTCAAAGGAGAAAATCAATAATTGTGTGACAAATGATGATGATGATGAAGCTGATGAAAATGAACATGACATGTCAAGTGAAAATGATGCAGAGGAAGATGAAAAAGTAGATGGACAATCCAAGAACCACTTTGAAGAGGAAGGGAAGAGTTTCAATAGTGGTGCAGATGTGAAAGAAACACAAGGTAAAAATAATGGTGATGATAGTGAAGGTGAAAAACAAAATAGAGAATTGACAGAATCTGAAGATGGAGCCAATAGTTTGATGAATTGTGTATCTAAGGTCAACCAGACCACAGCTGAAGATGATGTTCAGAAACATGAAGAATTGTCTGCCCAATCACAGGGGCTGTTAGAAGACAATACCTACATTTGTAAAATCTGTACCAAGATCTTCTCTCGCAAAAGCAGTTTCCAGTGTCATATGAGAAAACACAGAAATAAAGACCGATATAAATGTGAAATTTGTGGAAAGTGTTTTGATCGCCGGGCAAATCTGGAGGGTCACATCCGTATACATACAGGTGAGAGACCTTTTATGTGTAGTGTATGTGGAGAGGCATTTAACCAGACGTCCACGTTACAGGGTCACATGAGAGCACATACCGGGGATAAACCTTACATATGCACTGAGTGCGGCAAAGGTTTCAGCCACTCTAGTGATCTGACGAGACACATTAGAATTCATACTGGTGATAAACCGTTCGTCTGTGACCATTGTGGACGATCGTTTGCTCAGTCATCTTCTCTTAACAGACATGTGCAGACACACTTGGGCGGACAGATAAAACCGTACCAATGTGACCAGTGTGAGCAGGCCTACACTTACGCCCACCAGCTGCAGATCCACAAACGAACCCACACCAACTACAAACCTCATCACTGCCATATCTGCGGAAAAGCCTTCAACCAGGTAAAATACGTCACTAAACATATTCGCACACACTCAGACGTGAAGCCTTTTGTTTGCTGTATTTGTGGCAAGGCTTTCAGTGACTCGGGCTTTCTACAGAGACATATGAAGATACACTCGGGCGAACGTCCACACAGATGCGAGGTTTGCGAGAAGACGTTCGTTCTCAAGGACAGCTTGAAGAAACATTTCCGCCGCCACACAGGAGAAAGACCTTATAAATGTAGCGTGTGTGAGAAGGCTTTTGCTGACTCCTCGGCTTGCAGGAGACACGTCAGAAAGCACGAACAACTCTTATCTACAGCAGTCTGTGTGGAATAATACAACATTGTTTGGGCATTGATCTGTTGATTAACGGGATACTGTATCGTTATCAATCTGTATTAATTAATAGTAAGTTAAATCAGTCTGTGTCAGGTAATTATTCCTTATGTCTGCATGATCTGCATCAATTAATAACCCATCGTTTCTCCATTTAAGACTTAAGTTAACTTAAGATTAATGTTTAATACAAAATGGTTTGTTGTCCTTATTTATAATTATGAGTCGATATATTTATAAATATGTATTCATGTTTATTGTAAGCTAGCTTTTAAAATACAAAGTTACATGTATATGTCAGCACTATTTCCAAGAAAAAAAAACATTTTGTGTTTTAAGTGGTTGTTATTAAAAAATATTACTTAGTTATAGTTTTTTGTAATTAGTGACAGATACAGAATGGTATTCAATACTTGGCTAAATAGAAATTACAGTGACCTTCCTTATATCGGAGATTCTTAATACAGTGATTTTGCATAAGGATTACATGTATAGTAAAAAGTCTTCTATGGGATTCAGAAAAGTTACCTAATATAAACTGACATTCCTTATAAACAAGATATGTTTAGGTGAGTTTTACTGTACAGTGATTTGCCTTGACTTGGGAAGAGGTTAAGGTTTCAAATGTTTTATAGAACTGTTACAAAGCTGTAAAGCTCACAAATAAATATCATGGGTAATCAGTCAGGGGTGAGACTGAAATCCGTCATTTCTGAAAAATGATAGATAATCATCATATTTACTAACTACGTATTTTCGTCATTTTTGTCAATATGACTTACTATCGTCATATTTTCTTTTTCAACTTAATTCTTCTATCCTGGTTACATGAAAGCGAAATTTGAATTCACCGCTGAAAGAAGAGTGTTTACGCAAGATTCATTTCATCCGGGTCACTAATTACTGCCGACCACGTGCGTTAGAACATCAACATGGAAGGTGAAAGTTATTATTTAGCGGTAAAATGTCGAATTTTGGTAGAACTTATTCGCCATTTTCACACGGCTTTTAGCCCTATAAAAACATATAGTACACCGTCTGGAAGAATACGTACTTGTAGAGAAAAGTCTCGACGAAAAGTTAAAGCCATAAAAAAGTAGTGCGCCCCGTAAAACAAGCGAGATATTTCAGTGCGCCCAGACCCTCCATTCTGAAAAAAGACGGAATATCGCCATTTTCGTCTTCATTCCTATTTAATGCAAATAAATTGACAAATAACTCTTCCACTCTTATTTTTGCTTGGGAAATTTGTACTGTCAACATAACCAGTATTGTAGTCAACTGTATTAGACAAATGAAGTTTGTTTACGATGTTTTTTGTCCTTTTTTCGGTTGGTGGATCTAACATTTTTCAAAGAGAGGTAACCCGGTATTCTAGAAACACTCTAAATTTTTATGACTGTTTTTCGTCATTTTCTTAAAAATGACGAGTTTAAGTCATAATAAAAATTTTATTTTATGACTGAAAATCGTCATTTTAAAAATGACTGATTTCAGTCTCACCCCTGACTGGTAATGGTATGTAAAAGACATATTCCTTATGATTAATCAAAAAGGAATAACTCATCTTCTCAAATTAATTGAAACATCATTTTACATGTAGCAGTGTAGACTGAACTTTCTTCAAAGCTTGTTTTGACAAGCAAAAAAAAGTCATCAGACATTATTATTAGCATATAGTACATGTAGCTATGTTTTCTACATGTTCTATATGTTCTATATATCAGCAAAATTATTGGGGGGGGGGGAAGGGGGGCACAGCCCCCCCCCCTTACGACCATGGTAGCAATGTGTTGTCAAAATGATTATGCAACAGTTTTTTAGCTTACCTGAGCTGAAAGTGAGCTTTTCTGATCACATTTTGTCTGGCGCCCATCTGTAAACTTCACATTGTTGACTTCTTCTCAAAAACCACTGGGCCAATTTCAACCAAACTTTCCACAACATATCCTTGGATGAAGGGGATTCAAGTTTATTCAAAGGAATGGCCACACCCTCTTTCAAGGGAAGACAATTAGGAATTAGTGAAAATTTGATGTAATCATTTAAAAGTCTTCTCCTCAAGAACCATTGGGCCAGAAAAGTTAAAAATCTTCTTGTCAAGAACAACTATGCCATGACAAGTCATATTGAAAAGAAAGCATCCTCAGGTAGTGTAGATGTTCAAATCATGACCCCAAGGGATAGGGTGGAACAAAATGGGGGATCAAGATTTACATAGGAATATATAGGGGAAAAAATCTTAAAAAATCTTTTTCTCAAGAATATCAAAGCCATTTCTAGTCATATTAATGTGGAAGCATCCTCGGGTAGTGTAAGATTTAAATTTGTCCAAATCATAACCCCAGGGCTAGGTGGGGCAAAATGGGGGATCAATGTTTTTACATAGGAACATATATGAAAAAAATCTTTAATTTTTTTTCAAGTATAACAAAGCCATTACTAGTCATATTGATACAGAAGCATCCTAGAGAGTGTAAGATTCAAGTTCAAGTATGTTCAAATCATGCCCCCCCCCCCTTTTGGGTAGAGTGGGACATGCTTTTAAACATCTTCCTCTAAAGAACAGCAAAGCCATGAATATGGAAGAAGTTTAGATTTAAGTTTGATTAAAATATGACATCTGGGAGTAGGATAGGGCTAGAATATGCATATATATACATAGGAAAAAAAATCTGCAATGAAGAATGACAATGCCGTATTGACACAGGTGAGCGTTTTAGCCGATGGGCCTCTTGTTTTCATTCCCTAACTGTTCATGAATTTCTGTTATATACAATATTTTTCTCACACATTGACAAACAAAATTGTATAGCCATAAGGACAAATTCAAGGAGAGGGTACATGTACCAATAGGTTTTGCCTATTTTCCGATCTGTATCTTTCTACAGATGTCGTTATAGAATATCTGATCCACAAATAACACTGTCTACATAAGTCCGGTCCATTGTCGGAAACCGGATTTCATCCCAGATAGCATGCATACGTTGGGACAACGTTGGTCCAACGTAACACACTTTGTTGGCCCAACATTGGCAAACAACGTTGGCGCAATGTCTAAGTGCACTGTGGCCCTTTGTTGGCCCAACATGTTGGCGCAATGTTGGCCCAACACTGTAATGTAATCATGTAATTGTAGGGCCAACATTGGGCCAACGATGTATGTCGCATTGTAACAGAAAGGCCAACGTTGGGTCAACGTTGTAAAGGTACATGTAAAGGCCTATATTTAGTAATCGTATCGCCAACATCGGACCAACGTTGGACACGCATTCAACTTGCATGGCAAATGATTAGCCTTCAATCATAGAAGTACAACACAATTCCTGTATTTGTTTTAATTTCCATCATTTCAATACAATGAATTTAATAATTTTGGAAAATCATCTTGTTCCTCTTACTAATGTTTTAGAGTATTCATGTCACTTTCATTAAGGAATCTTAATTATTGAATGCAATCAGCGGGGGGAAGGGATAGTTCAAATGTTTTTCTTAAGTATATTCCACATCATTATTAATAATAATCACTTCTAAATTTCTCTAGTATAGGAATCCACTATTTCAAACTTGTAGAATGTAGGAATGTAAATTAATTGTGCATTTTCTCCTGTCCATATCGTATTTGAATTGTCCACTCCTTTTTCCTGTCCATGCGTTTATTGTTGTTTTTTTTTTTGTGCTGAATCTATGTCTTTCAGGAAAATATTTTTGCATCAAAGGCCATCTGACACAGAGGATTTTTTCTTCACCAGTTGCTATCAATGTTAAAAATACAATATCATTAAATAATTTATTTTTCTTACAAATAGATAACTAGTAAATATACATGAACATTTTGAAACAAGTGTATATTTTTAATAACTTCTTTAATAATTGTTACATTATGCGTAAGTTAAGTTTTAACAAAGCATAAAATTCTATCAATCACGCATAACAATTTTACTTACAATTCAAGGGCTAAAATAATCCATTTTTTCTTTTTTGAGTAGCAAAGTTTGCTTTGTTCCAGTGCGGGCGTGATAAGAAAGTGACCACTCTGGGTTTGCATGATCTGATTAAGATGCTCGTCTCCTAGGAAACCGGCCAGTCACCTGCTGAGCAAGTGAATTTCACCACTGACCTAATTATTTGGAGTTCTTAAACACAACACTTTAGTTCCAAGATACTAAATATAAAATCTACAACTCTATTTATTGTGTGGAATCAAACTTCTACTTGCAGTTTTCGTACATTACTATAATCTTTAATAATGATTTGATTGCTATTTTTCATAATTGGGTTCTGGTAGAATTTTTTCAATTCAATTTAAACCAAAATTCAGTGAGTAATTAAAAAAAATCTTCTCTTTTAACAGCCAGTTTTTTTTTTTAATGAAACCGAAATGCACCTCGGTTTGGCCAGCATATTATGTCACACAGTGATCATGTTCATGCTAACATTGGGCCAACGCTGGACCAACATACTGTTACCAGCTTAAATAACCATGCATCTTTTAATGGCTTAGCAAACATTGGGCCGACAATGACCCAACGTAATACTCCCAATTTACATTTTTTATATATACACATCGTCCTATAGTTCGCAGTGCGATGATGGGACAACGTTGGACCAATGTAGAGAAAACACATGCTAACACTGGCCAAACATACTGTTACCAGATTAAATAATCAAGTTTGTTAATGTTGTATTACAAATGTTGGGCCAACGCTGGGCCAACTTTAGAATCCAACTTCCGTAGAAAATATAGCAAAAAGGAGTCGCTTAATGTTGGACCATCGTTGGGCAAACGTAAGAATCCCGACATGGTTGACTACTGAAGAAAAGATTGACATGGTAACATTGGTCCAACGTTGGTCCAACGTTCTTTAGCCAACGCCAACCATTCGCCAACTGTACAACCATTTACCAACGTTGGCCCAACATAGTCATGCTATCTGGGATACAGGCTTTTCTTTGAATTTTTGGCCGTGATCGATAATTCTCCTACACTCTTCTGATGACCATTCTAACACTCGGTCGTTCAAAAATAATCTCTTTAGAAGCAAGACTTCAGTCATGTTGAGTAACTGTATGAACACATGAGGAGCACATTTCAAGAAATAATGTCGTAAACAGGAAGTCCAGTTTATTGATATCCACAGTATTCAAACTACAAAGAATATTCTGTATTTGGAGTGTTATACCTACCTTCATCGATATATCCCTCTCTTTGCATGCCACTGTGCACATTATTTGTTTAAACTCAGGCCCATAGGAAGCAATTTCAGTTGGGGGTGGGGGGAGGACACATGCAACCATATAGATAAGA